GAAATATTACTACTAAATTTGAAGATATGGATGGTAAAGGCTGGGATGAACTGTTTGTTGCACTGCCGCCACACATCCATATAGGTCGTGTTTAACCTCCTGGCCTCTCCAGCTTTCTCTTCTTCCAATGCCTCCACCTTAGAGGTCAGGGTCGCGTAGTTTACCTCAGTTTCAAGAAACTTGCCCTCAGCATTAGAAAATTTCAACTTGGCCTCTTCCATCCTCTTGGATGCCTCGGCCTTGGCTTGTTTGCTCTTGTCAAGCTCGACAGTGAGGACTTCGACTTTATGGATCAGGTCGACAATGCTCTGAGACTGATCGACAATCATCCTCTCCACTTGGCCAATATGGGTGTCCTTCTTGGCAAGCTTGACTTGAGCCTTGTTAGCCCGGCTCCTATAAGACCAGAAACAGTCAATGATAACTTTCATTTGCTGGCAAGCCTGAAAGGGGAAGGGGTAAACATTGAGATGCAATCATTATAGAAAAAAGGTTGAAAGCAGAGAAAGTGCCAAGAATTTTTACCACCAAGTTGTGTTGTATCACCCCTTGGAGGAGCCAATTATCCCCTATAATCTTCCAAAACTGCCAAGTCAGCATCAAAGTGCAAGGCCCCACTAACAGCCATGGCCACATCATAGGAATGGATGATGGAATCAGACTCCAAGACAGTTTTTCCCTTCTAGTGACGGCCCGAGGGGCCTATTCTACGGGATTTGAGGGTGCAGGGACATCGTGCTGCTATTTGACACGATGCCTAATGATTGGGTCGGCATGCTAACGTCAGTGTTGCCTCTGTCGATTATCACTTAGCTCTAAGGGTTCCTCTTGGCGCCTTCAACACTAATTTTAAACCCTCGAGGGGACTTCTTGCCCTTACTGCTGTTGTTGTTGTTGCTACTGTCGGTGCTCCTATTGGCGTAAAAGAGGGGGCAGAAGCTCAATAATCGGTGTCGTGCCAAAAGGGCCACAGGGACCCGAGATCAAGGCCCTCCAATCTCAAAGGCTGTCTCTAGACTTTCTGTGGTGATGGAAGGGATATGAAACATTTCGAATAGAGAAGATGGAGTGGATTTTGAGTCGCGGTCAAGGTTCTCCTCTTCGTCTTCTTCTTCCCCTTCTTTCGATGAGCGGTCCACCCAGATGGAAGGGTCAAATTATGGTGGAATTTGAGAGAACCTGGTGTAATTAGGGCGGTAGCCGAGGAGTATGTGGATTGCTCAAGCAAGTGGATCGCCAGGATTGTAGGACCAGACTTTGATGAGATCTTCAAAGGTGATGAAGGATTTCAAAGGCTTGGTAGCGTCCTTCTTATATCCTTCTACTGAGAAGAACACAAGGTCAGTCAAGCACGAGGGGTGAAGGAATTAGCTAAAAGCCTACCTGGATCCCTCAGTACTTTGGGGCAGTAGAGGTCTTCATACTCGGGTCCTTTACCCTTCTCCCATCTACCGCCGAGCATGATGAGATCCTGGGTGTATCCCTTGTCTGAATCAGGCATATGCATCACAAAGTACATGGAGGGATTCTGAGCCTATAAGTAGTATATGTCACTACTGACTAGCTTCAAGTCATAACATAACAGAATCTCGTCTACCTCAAGGTTCACTCCAAGCCAAGCATTTAGGGCTATTACGCCCATGACTATCCTAAAAAGGCTAATGCATTACTAAACGGGAAAAAGCTTTAGGTGCATGAGGACTCTTAACAGAAGAGGAGGAAGGGAAAATATGACCCCCCCCCCCCTTCCATAATGGCCTTGGTATGCAAGGGCATCAATTCTACGCTGCCCATAGTGGCCGAATGAACACGGGATCAAAAACAAAAGTAAAGACAGGATCGGGGATATTGTTGGTGGCTCTGAATGCCTACAAGTTGGCATCAGTCACCTGGGTTTTCCTCAAACAACCTTTATCTCTAGGCCTAACAGGTTCCCTGCATGCCTGAGGCCTAAAAGGTACCCTATGTGCCCTAGACCTAGAAGGTTCCCCTATAACCTTGGTCCTTCTTATGTTGGCCATTGGGAGTCCTGGTGGAGGAGTAAAAGAGAATGGGAAAGATGAGGAGGAAAGTATAGACAAAGAAGTACTTAAAGATTTAGTGGCTTCGAGGGATTTGCTCAGGGGGAAGATGAAGAGGTGCTCGGGTTGTAATTTCAGTTTAGAATTCGAAGGTCCAAGAAGACTCAAATGAGCCATAAATCCCCCTATTTATACTGATTGCTCAGTAGGCGGGAATCAAAGAGACAAAACCATCAAGTGCAAATTTGAAAAATTTGGTGTTGGACATGTGGTTAATCGCCACTAAATCCTAGGTGTGCTGAGGAAACCTCCACTCTCTGTGTGAGACCTATCCCATGACGCAAGGAAAATGGAGGCTTGGGGCAATTGTCGGGACTTTAAGTGGCTTAGTAGTTGCAAAGTTGACACATGGATCATTGTAGCTAGTGTGGAGAGCAAAGGGCGCTTGGAGGCATGCCGAGGAGTTAAATCCTAGGGAGGCCGAGTACACCTGCCAGGACTTGGCATTAAAGAAGATATGACAGCTCATTAAATAGGATCATGAGTAGCTATAACTCATTAAATGTGCATCCAAATCCACGAGAAATGTGAGGGCAGTCATCAATACAAAGCATTAATTGTGAAGGTGCCAAACTTCTGTCCTCGGTGAAACCCAAGGGGTGCTTATTCCCAAGTAGTGAACGTTCGGGTGTAGGTGTCAAGCACCGAGCAGTGATATTTAATGGTCAAAGATAAGGTCATTATGGCTCGGCAGGTGCCGATCAGGGTTACAAACGCCCAAGTGAATCGGTCTTGAGAGGATTTGATGGGATAACATTAATTACGCATGAATGCGAGTGCGAGTCATTAAATGTGCATGTGACTCAAAGATCTTGCACTCATTACTAAGTCAGGTATAAATATCCCTCAAAAAGATGAACAAATGTATGTAACATAAACTCAGAAAATACACAACGCTAATGTCTCCAATGCCGACTAACTTGAGTTTCAGAAAGGATTAGCCGAGTGATCACCCGGCCTCTTTCCTAACCTTTTGATCGTTTCAAATTCATCATCCTGCAAATCACTATTTCAACATATTGCAGGAAAGCACCCATGAATTTATAGTTTAGAATTAGCCAAATGTGCATTTCCAAATTTTGATCAATACAATTCTCCTAGTTACTTATAAACAAATTTCCAGATTCTTTGTGCTTTAGGACACGTGTTAGTATATGATTGGAAGAAATATTTGATTCATGGTCTAAAAATTAAAAATTCTAAGAAATTGAGGAGTCGAGAGGGAAGGCCTCCCAATGCCTCTCCCACCTAATTTGTTTGCTGTATATATATATATAAACAAGTTAGTAAAGCTTTATGATAACATGAACAATTACCTATAATTATTTAAGAAAATGACATCTACAGCATACAAGAAAAACAAGCATTGAGGGGGTAGTGCAATAGAAACCCACAAAAAAGGGGACATGTAGACTTAGTCCAGTTGATTCTTTAAAATGGTGGTTTTGATCAAGAGTCACAATTAAGTAGAGGACTAATTTGCAACTTAAGATATTAATCGTAAGATATACAATTTTTTAGTGGGTATTATATAATATATATATATATATAAAACAAAAATATATTTAAATTTTATACCCCATACGTTTTTCTCCCTCCAAAACCATCCCATCCAACCCAACCCAGAGCAACGGCTCCCCGGCAATGTTTTAAGCAAGAGCCTATCTTCCAATCATAAATTTGAAAAAAAAAAAAAAGAATGAAAGAAGAGGGTAAAAAAAAGGAAAAGAAAAAAAGAACTGTTTACTCAAATTGACTATATTCTTGGAACAATATTACTGTAACCTAATTTAATAACCTAATTCATTATACTCATTGGATTGATTGTGAGCCCTATCAAATATTGAAATTTTGTATTAATACAATAGTTACAATAATGTCATATTATTAGATCAAAAGATTACATCAAATTTTTAGATTTCAATAGTATTAGTAATATTCTTATTCAGGAAAAAAGAGGCAATAAATATGTCCCACATGCATAAAACCTATCATTTCTAAAACCAAGTGGATTAATAGTCAGGCTGATGTATGCATAGGGTAGTAAGCAAGTGAATAAAACTTAAAGTAGGGTTTGACGCAATCAAAGGCACTTAGCTATCATGCAGGAGTTAAAAAACAGCTTAGACTTTAAGTCCTATTTTTTAAGAAAATCTTAAATTTTTAGGTATCATAAATAATTCATATAAAAAAATTAAATTCAAAAATACTTTAATCCCTACAAAAAAATCTTATAAAAATACAAGCCCAATCGAAAAAAAATAAATTTAAAGCCTAATAATTTATAGGTTTGCAGTAATAGACCAAATAAAAAATTTAAATCCATGCACAAACAAAAGATTGCAATTTAAGTAAATTAGACTTATTAATTCAGCCGTAAAATTAAAAGAACCTTAAATTTATTTTATTTTTTTTAAAAAACTAAGAGTAAAACTAAAGTTATTAAAAAAACTAATCTTTAACTCTCAAAAAAGTCAAATTTAAACGTACTATCATAATTTTTTAATTATTTTTTCTCTCTTTTATCATTAAGTTCAAATATGATAACTAATACTTTTAATTAGTATTTTTGTATTTAAAAAAATTAAAAATTAAATTTATTATTGATGGTTTATGCTCTAAGCCCCAAAATATCCGGACCGCCCCTGCAATCATAATATCTCTCTCTATAAATTAATGAAAAAAGTTTAATTATGTTATGCGCCTCTTCTGGATTCCCACGCGACTCAAGTTATAAGGCCCCCCAAAAAATTCTCGGACAAAAAAAGGCGGCGAATCCGACTCTAATTAGTAGTCCACTAAGGTTTAGATTCTGTTCCGACTTCTGAGGGTTACTTACAACCAAGCCCATCCTGTAACCCTATAAATAGCCCGTCAAGCATGAAAAACCCCTACTCATATACATATATCTCTCTTTCTCTCCAGCAATCATGGCCAAGGTTTCCATCAACAGCCTTCTCCTTCTCAGGTTAGAATTTGTTGCCATGCATTTAAATCATTATACAATCTGCGTCTTCTTTGTTTCTTGTTTCAGTTTAGGGTTTGTAAAGTGATTCTTCTTCTCTTTTTTACTGTCGTTGTTGTTGTTGTTGTTATTGTTTTCTATTTTGCTTTTTGTCCCTACGACGTTCTTTTGTGTGCGGTAGGAGGGCATACAAGGTTGGTGCGGAGAATGAAATGGTGCAGTCTGCGGCTTCAGTGATGAGGAAAGTGTCGGATTCGAGCAGTTTTGGAGGAGAAGTTCCTGCGAGACCCAAGGAGGTTTTTTGGATGAGAGATCCAAAGACGGGTAATTGGATTCCGGAGAGTCACTTTGATGATATCGACGTCGTAGAGCTCAGAGAGAAGTTCCTCTCAAAGAAAGAGAAAACTATGAAGAATTAGAATCCTATTACTAGTGCATGTGTGTGTGTGTGTGTGTGTGTTTTAAAGGTTATATTTTTTTTATCTTGTGGTATATTTTTTTGTTCCCGGTCTCGAGACAAAACGAGATTGCGTTATTATCAAGCTTTTTAATAGTTTGTCTCTCTCAAACTCTTTTCTACGATTATACCGGATTAATCTCAAATCAAATTGCATCTTAAAACATCCTTAAAAATCAAAAATCTCAATTTACACCATCAAAGATAGAATGTGTATCTACCATTCAAAATTAAATGAATAAATTATACACAAACCCTCTAATGCTTGTCGCATAATCAATTAAACCTCCTCACATTTAGAATTTTACTCCTATACTTCCTGCGTGTAACACATAATCTCTTATCGTGGATATATGTAAATATAACCGTTAAAAAATAGGGAGAAGTACACCTAGACCTCTTGAGATTTGTCACTTAATCACCCAGACCCCCTGATATTTAAAATATTACACACAGACTCCCTAAAATTTGTACGCATATACCCCTGCTATAAATATATCCGTTAATAAATTACACTCAGACCCCTTAAAGTTTGTAAACATATATTATTTAGAACCCTTAAGTTTAAAATGTTATACTTAGACAAAAACTATTTCAATCAAAGATAAAATATCAAATTTTTTAAATTTTACAATTAAAATTTATTTTTTATTGTATCTTTTATTGAAATAAAACTAAAATATCATACAAGGGGTCTAAGTCATTCATAATATGCTTACAGGAGCGGAGCTAGAACATAAACTCCGAGAAGGTAATATATATATATTTGTGTGTGTGCCTGTGGGAATAAAAAAATTAATCAACTGGTTTTAAATTTTTTTTTCAAACTGCCATTAAAGGGAAATAAAAACCCGGAGTGTAACACAATGATGTTGCAAATATCAAGAATCTGTTATAATCCATCAATTTTATGAGAAATTTCTTAGCAATTTCCTTTTAATCTTATTAAGAAATTAATTTTTTAGAAGGACTTTTGATTTAGTATATTTCACCATTTGTACATATTCGTGCATTACTGGATAATAGGCTATTATTGACCCAAAAAAACAAAATTAATGACAACTTATACAATACCTTTTTAAAAAAACAATAATGTTATACTGACCAAAAAAAGCAATCAAATAAAGAGCCCAAATGTAATGGCGGTTGATATGGAAGGCTGATTAGGCAAAAATAATATTTGACTAAACCCCAAAATTTTTTCCCCATAATTCAAGCCCCAAATCAAGGAAAGATATGGCAAAATCTTGGACACAGACGACAATTACCAAAACAGTGTCTTCTCCACTTCTCTAACACACACAACCAAGATGGACAAGACGATTCTGGCAAAAAAAAAAAATTGAAACAGAGAAGATGAATGTGTCATCGACCCGGACCAGAGGAGGGAAGAGAGAGTTGATTCGTAGATTTAGATTATACATTTAGACAAAAATAATATAGAGAAAGAAAAGAGGTCAAGCATAAGTTTGCACTGTAATATGCAAATCCGTTAACAACTTACAACGTTAAAGTGCAACCAACACACTTGATTTGCTACACGGGGACCAAAAAACCACTACAGAAGTTCAATTACAAGTAAAAAATATATGACAACTGGGAACACATAAACATAATTGGTAATTTGGTCAACTTCATTGTGTCTTGATTGTTTTCTACCACTTGTAATTTGGAACATATATCATTATCTGAAAGCTATTTCAACCCACTTGTCCATCCCAGTGTCAAAGAGCACTACAACCCACTTTATTAAACACCTTGAATGTATAATCTGAATCTACGAAGCAATCTTCCCTCCTCCGGTCCGGATCGATGACACATTCGTCTTCTCTGTTCCTTTTTGTTTTTTTTGCCCGAATCGTCTTGTTTGTGTGTGTGTGTTAGGGAGGTGGAGAAGACGATCATCTCTCCTATTTTGTTATTCGTCTCACAAATTTTGTCATATCTCTTACTGGCTTGAATTTTAGGGAGAAAATTTTCTGGGTGTAATCAAATATTAATCTTACCTAATCAACCTTTCATGTCAGCCGCCACCTCATTGGTCTCTTTATTTGATCGGCGTAGCATTACTGTTTAAAAAAATAAAAGAAAGCATGTTAAATAGTAGAGGTAATGTATTTCGTCAACTTTTATGAGTCAAGAATTTCACTTTTGGTTTACACAGTCCAATACTAAAATATTTTTTCAATAGATTAAGCGGGTGAGTGAATCACAAACTTACAAAAAATTCATAGAATATTAAACTTTTTAAAAAAAGTATATTGGTAAGCATAATAATATTAATTGAGAGGAAGGACACGGAGACGGGTAATTGAGTAACTTGAATAGGATTCTAGACATGTGACAGAATTCATAGAATATCTAAATTATTTTAGATATGGCTGAGTTATGCATTTTTAAGTTATATTACCAATTTTTCACCTTTATAAATAGGGTCGAGTGTACCATGCAGTGAATGTGTAGATACTTTTGTGTTTTCTTTCTTATCTTCAGTTCTCATCTCCCAAACAATGGTTTTAGAGTTATTCTAAACAAATCAGCTGATTAATTGAAATTCAACAATGGTTTTATCTTAACCATTCCAAATTATATCACTTTAAGGTGAAAGTTTTTTGCATACTTGGAAAGAAACAGTATTCTTTTCACTCCAAATTTTCCTCCTCCTCTCAATAACCAGACCAAATGTTAGTTAAACAAACATCATAAAAAGTTTCCTTGTCTTTGTTGAGGGAGACAGAGCACAGAGAGGGGAAAAGATCGAATTGGAAGACTCGAACTTAATTACTTTCAATACATCTTACCCGAAAGATCTTCAGCGAATCGATAACTGACACACAGTCTTCTATGGGCCACAATGCAATAATTAGGGTCGGCATACGACGACGGGGACTCTGGTTGGGGTACCGATGCTTTTGTTCATTCAATTAACTCTTTGCCGCCATACCGTGCTTGCTATCTTTTGACGGGGCCAGCCTTTTTTTTATGTGTCTTCACTAACGACATCATGTTCAACACAATCATCCCAAGTGATTGGGGAGAACGAACGACAATCGGAAGGTCAATCGCAGCATCATGTTAGACCCTAGTCAAAGGCAGCCAACCAACCAAAAGGGAAACCCTGGGCTACTGCTCCTGGGATATCACTAGTGAAGCCTTACCTTCAGTTAAAAATTAGAAAACCCTTCACCCTACTAATAAAAGGCCCTATCTCAAATTCGTGAGCTACTCTAACAAGCCAGCAAGCTACAGGCATTAGTGTCTTACCCTTAAGTAAGTAAAAGCTTCTTCCTTCGCTCCACTCGCTTTATAACACCTTCAGAAGTCGTCGAAGAATGAAAGCTTCAAAAAGATCAGGATGTCAAGCCATAATATGCTAAGGAGTAGAGAAGCGACCAGAGGGGGAGAGGGAAGAGGATGCCAACGGGAACTCCAGCTTGTGAGGGGAAGGGCCAGTGGATGCATTACTCACTAGAGGGAGACATTGACAGGGGGAGAGGGAGAGTAGGCGCCTGATGTAGGGTGTAGGAGAGAGCGTATAAGATTCGGCACACGTAAGTCGATGTGCTAAGCATTCAGCGGAGTTGAAGTTAATCTCAGGAGTAATGCTATTCTGATTAATTTGCTGTTATAATTTATTATTATCGGTAGAGTAGATCGACAATTATAATCTAAGGATTGAAAGAATATCAATTTCCTATGTGGGGCACTAAGAATTACCTTCAACTACTAACGAGAGAACTAACATACATTATAATCTGTGGCCGCATACAAAAATGCACAAGCCACACATGCACATTCTGAATTGCATCCAAAATCTAACCCAAAGTTGCACTGAAATGGGAATTGTAAAGCAATAATACACAATCTGTCCAAGGAAAAACAACGGGACAAAACACTAGTCCACTCACTATGTTTTCACTACTTGTCAATAAATTTAGATAGAACCATGGCTATAAGTATAGCTGGATTAGCTCATCACTTACTACAGATGGCGTTAGGACTCCCAGATCTGTAAAGAGTAGGGTAAGATATTGTGGAGGTGTATAATCCCGAGCTGATGTTTCAACTTCGACCTTTGATGGGATGGGTACCCCAAAATCGATTGGGCGCAAGGCAGGGACCATGTCTTTTTGGTCCAATGGATAGAGGCGAGCAAACTGAAACACCGACGAACATCAATATACGATCTCAGTGAAAATCAATTGATAAAAGTTCAATATCTGCTATAATCCAATTTTAAGTTTGTCTTTGTCAAACTGTTTGTCCAAGCTGAGCAACAGCCAAAGCAATTCAATCAAGCTCCTCGAGATTTGTTTTCACATACCTTATAACTTTCAGCAGCCACATAAACCGGTTTGTTCATGCTTTTAGCCACCAATGCAATTTGATAAGTCCCCATCATGTTAATTATACCTCCGCTTTCCACCACTCCATCCGCCCCAACAAATATCATGTCTACTTCATCCATACTATATGCCACAGCAGAGTCTATTAAGAGCTTCACAGGAACATCAAGCTTTGCTAGCTCATTGGACAATCGTAATCCTGTCCTGTCTGGCCTTCCCTCTGCAGTTTACAGCATGCAATTTTGAACTTCATGGCAACACATTGGCCATTTTTGACTAATTGAAAGAAGAATATATGCAACATAGAACTGTCACTCTGCGATTCTGACAGTTGCTATCGTTTCTGTATAGAGTATGAAGACAAATAATGCTGATGAAGGGGTCACACTCAGACCTAAATGAGAATGTCATCAAATTATGGAACCATCGCCAATAGATGGCAACACGACAATTCATTGTTAAAATTGTCAAATGCTATGGATTGTCAAGAAAATAGAATGCATGAGCACTCGTTGGTATTGACGATCCATAAAGAAGTACTGATTGATGTCTCAAAATTCATTGAGGAACCAATTTTTTGAAATTTATTTATTTTTAATACTTAATGGTAAAGCAAAAATGCACATCATTTGAAAAACCATAATTCATTTATGTACAACCCATAATTGTATGGAATATGACTTAAAAGTATATGTTTTCATTGTAGTAATCAGCTTGTGGCATAACAAATGTTGATTTAAAAAGAAATGCGAGTTTTGATTCTTTTAGCACATACTACATAGCAATGTTCTCTCTATTATAGTTTCTAATTTAGCTATAAGAATCATTTGTTTGGTAGTGATTACTAATACCAACTCAGAAGAAACTTATCCCATATAAAATGTTAGTCTGCCATACATTTTTTTTTTTTTGGTCTGCCATACATTCAACTTTTGATTGTATGGTTGAATCTGAATATAAGAAAGGGATATTTCATGGAACTATAATGTATTCAAAGATTAAAAAACAAAATTCATCCAGATATTTCTTCCACATGGAATATGTTAGCCTATTACAGGTCTTCATAATGCAGCATTAGAATTTTATGATTACAACGTGTAATGTTATGTTTGGAATGCGTGATTATTTTATGCATCTGTTAAATTTATTTATTTTTGGTTTATCAGGAAAATAAAAATGTAGATTTTTTTTTTTGGTGGGGGGGGCAGGCCCAACCTCATTGTAAATAAAGCTTGGGCTTTAGGCCCCACAATTTGAGTTGTATAATTAACCCACATAAAAAATTTAACTTTACAAAAATTTTAAGTCCTATAAAAAGGCCTCAAAAAATTTAAGTTCAATCAAAATTTTTAAGTTCAATAATTTGGGCTCATAATTCAACCTATAATATTATAAACTCAAAAATCAAAAGTTTAAAAAAAAAAAAATTAAACATATAAAAAAAATTACTCAAAAGTCAAGTTATATTTACCTCACATTTACTCTTCTGGTAAAAAACAAAAGCAAAAGTTAAAATATCTCAATCGACAACACTGATTCTTCCTCTATCTCACACACATATAATAAATAAAAAATAAATTAATTTTCAATAAAATTTTAATATTAAAAATAAAAGGCCTCATTCAATATTATCGTTTTAGGCTTCAAAATGCTTTAGGCCACCCCTTTGGGGGGTTGGACTTCACATAATTTTTTGGCCTATTTTTACCAACAAACAACACTGAGAAAAAAAAAAGTAGAAAAAGACATTGAATGTTGTGTTTTTCCTATTCCAGAACATATAGCTATTTCTTAAAAAGAGTAAAGCTTCTTTTTTCCCTAACTATGGATTAATAACTGAAAGAAAACTGCGCATACATCTATCTTGGAGGGAAGACCCAAAATAAAGGCTCAAATCTCTAGTCCATAAAATCCAAAACCATGTGATCACTTACTTGTTCATGGAACTGAAATTGACTCACTCCTGTAAGAGATAATCAAATGCAAACAATGGGATGCCGAACACAAACCTGTGCATAAAACTCGAAAGAGCTTCCTACTTTGTGAAGCTGTCTTCAAAACTTCCAACACCACTCGAGAGAAACCATGCACCAAAATGGTACAACCGTCAAAAATAAAATCTTGACTAAGCATGGCAATGATTTTGCGAGCCTGCAATACAGACTTGGTCAATAGCTTTTCAGGGTAACAACATTTAGAATGGTTGATAACTGCAAATTGACACATTACTGAAACAGTGAGCTGATACAGCCATAATCAGCTTGTTACCTTATAAGATATCTCCCCAAATTTCTCTGCACGTTCAAGAAGGCGAGACTTAGCCGAATTAAAGTCCTCATATTCCAGAGCTGAAGTTCTTGTTACGTAGCGCATGAACAGATCGCAGCCAGCTGTCAAAGAGATGGAGGTTGTGTCCCATGACTGCAATACACATGGGTGGTAGATGACAAATCATAATTTACAATGAAAAATCTTCCTTACAAAACCTAAAATTCAAGGCCTTGGTCCTTGTTTTGATAGATTATTAATAAGAATAAATTGCCGCAACTGTAAGTCATAATCATCATCTATAACTTGTGTAGAAAATTTGGCTGTGTTCCATACTCCAATCATTGCTACCCCCGCTGCTTGTTGAAGGATTCCCTGATTGACATTACTAAACATCTTCCTTTATACACTTATTGCAGAATAAAAAATTCCAAATTACAATCAAATTGGTCACCACATTAAATAAAAATAAGACACGCAGCCAAATGCTATACCGAATGACAAATTGAAGTATTATCCATGTCATGCAAAGTTATGAACAAGGAATTCTTGTAAACTCGCCACCTCTGGGCAGCAGCCACACACAAGTAAGGTTTTTAAAGCAAGAATTAACCACTCTGGCTAATCTCTACGACCCAAACAATTATTTTATAATGCCATCAAGCCTGTTCAATAACTAAAATCAAGTACACTTGAGATTTCTTGTGGTCCTTGTTGAACATAATCACTTACTTCTTATTCTTTCTAATGTTTAAATAGAGTGACTGGTCTACAATATCTGATGTATCCGTTTAACTTGTTGCCATTTGGATTCATTATATAGGCTACGTTCTGTAAATAAGCAATTTCCAATTCAGGCCAGAATAACAATCAGCACTACAAGAGATTGAATTTGCAGGAATACGTAGGAATAGTATTCAGTTCAATGGAAAAGACAGTTCAAAATTATAAAAACTAAGAGAAATGCTTTTGCTGTGCGCAATTCATTCAACGATATGAATACCTAACGATATAAAATGTACAAAAAGCGAATACAAACAGATTTAACTAATTTACGATGGCTAGCTAGAAAAAGCACATACTTTGAGGGAATCGGAAGCTTTCTTGAGTTCAATTTCGAGCTCCATCATCGTAGTGGCCTCGCTGGATCGAATAACCCAAGCCAAAGCCCTAATCGCCGCCACCGCTTCCGCCAGATCAGGCTGTTTCCGCCAGTTATTGAACTCGTCGATCACACTCAATTGCTTGCCAGAATCAGTCGAAATGATCGAAATCTCCGAGACGCCATCGTCGGGGTCGCGGCCAACGGCAGCCTGGGCCTGGGCCAGCCAGTCGGTGGTGACGACACCGTGATGAGCCGCCCTGGTCTGGTAGTATGCCGAGATTTGAGGGTTAGGGTTCTGTAAAGTGTCGGCCATCGAGGAAGAAGGGCTAGCCGTAGAGAGCAGGCGGCTCTCAGGCTTTCCTTCAGCGTCGTTTTCTTCTTGTTGTTTGTCGAGAATGAAAGAAGCTGATCTGTACCACATTCAGCTTTTGCACGTGTGGACGTCGTAGGAATCGTATAATTATGTTGATTGGAGGAGAGAGAATCAAAACGGCGGATTAAAGCGAAATATCCGGTGACCTCTGCTAGATTCCTCCGGTGGCTTAACTTAAAAGATGATTATACCAGTTCTACTACCATACACTAATTACGTTTATACACAGGATAACAAAAATAAAGCACTATGCTTCTCTCGTCTGTTTTGATAGTTGACTAAAGGATGCCAAATTGCAATTGGGCTCTCTTTCTTCTGTTTATTTTTAATTTTATATTCCATTACGAATTTAGATTTATATTCACCTTCAAATAATTTAGACAAAGTACTAAATGAAGCTTTAAAAAAAAAAAAAACAAAGACTACTTTAAAAGGTTAAAAACGGGCGCAATATAAGTTATAAAAATCTAATTAAATGTAGACGTTAGATTAATTGTAAATTTTAATGTTATATGCAATTCAGTATTTAACGACTACATTGAATTAATACCTCATATGTTGCATGTTGCGATGGTAGGAACAAATCAAGTAACATAAATCAAGTGTTGCAACTTATGTTTGATTGCGTAAAATAAAAGTCGAGTGCGAGAGAACCGCAAAAAGATTCAAAGCCGCTTGAAGGGTATCCCAATGGTTTCTATTGCTTGGAGAATACGATTGTTACAATAGATTTTCAAATATCTTTCTTGGGAATACATGCTCCTGTTTATACCGGGAATGATTTTTATTCTTATCCTAAATTGTGTGTCCTCTCAATCAGTTGATGGTTAGAATCATTAAAGGAATATCTTTCCATTAGAATATCTCTAACAATGCTCCACATGTTCTTCTATAACCAAGGTGATGTCAACCGAGAGCTGAACTCTTAAGGTCCTAGGATGAGCTGGTTGAGTAATATTTGGTGGTCTATAAGATCCTTCCTCCAGAGGAGCTTGATGAAGGTAAGAAGTCGGCTCGAGCGGTCTTTAGGCATGAGCTGCATTAGATGATGCTGAAAGTCATGCTGCTTATTGGTTGTTTCAGCTCCAATTTTTGCGGTCGGTCTATTCGAGTTCCAGCTATGATGAGTAGATAATGGTCTGCTAATCATGGCGTCATCAATATTAAGCCTCTCACTGTCAACTTAAGGTTTTTAGGGGAATTGTTATTTAAACAACAAAAACCATCTTGAATCAACTTTAGCAGGACATGAAGGGATTGATTTTCTCCGATTTGCCTCACTTTAGCCATTGCCAATACCCCATGATATCAAGCCCTCTTTGCTTTGAGCTCACCCCCTGTTAGTCTCATTCATTTGGGTCTCCTAGAGTCTGGTTATCAATTGTTCTCCCCATAGGACTATGCAATTTTACTCAAACCCAAGTGGATCATATACTCAACAAACAACTGAGAATCAATCTATTAAAACATTTTCTTGTTTTTAGAGGGTGTCATGGCAAGGTGAGATTGAAACTAAGACATTTTTATCTGAACTCTATTCTCATCATAGGCCCATAACATATGCCTTTTGGCAATGCCATAACAAGTTGAAAAGACAAAAGAATCTTAAGGGACTCAATATATCATTACTAGTTGTAGAGATAGATCAGCATTAGGCAATAGTATGGAACTCTTTGTATGTAGTGCCATGTGAATTCACTGAATCAGATGAACACTGAGCAATCAGTTGAGGACTCTGCTGCTTCTTTATTTACAATCTCATATTTTACAGTTAATGAGACCATAAACAACAATGATCCCCATAATAAGAGAGTGATCAACGCATGGCTTCACGACCATTGTTAAAACATCTTCCCCTAAAGCAACTCCACATGCTGATATTTTTCTCTTTACCTGCTTCAGAAATTAGAAAACTGTTAGCTGTAAATTGAGAACCGCAAAACTATTAGCCCCACGCGAGGTTTGTAAATAAGTGATTATCTGGTAATGAGCAAGGAATATACGTTTTTCTGCTAAACAGGATGTGTTGTACTAATGATTCAAATATGAAGGGATCTGCTGAAAAGAGGACAAGTTCTAGGCTAACTTACCTCGGCAACAAGCTCACCCAAGGGTTCAACTATCTTGCATGATGATTTCCTGGTCCAAATCTCCATCCTATACTGCTGTCTTTGATTTTTATCCAACCCCACATCAACCTCACACACTGAGTCCCCTCTAAGAATTCCAAAGGTCCTTCTTACTTGAAACACAGGCATTTCCTTGTTAAGATCTGTACCACATCTGTATCCCTTCCAACTCCCCCAAAATTTAAATCTCTGCATCATGAAACGTTTGAATAATTAAACAAAATTGAGTCAGCTTTTGACAGCGTTTCATAATTTCTTTCCTTACCTCTTTAACTATCGTGAACAGTACTTTGCCCACCCTATCCATGAGATGAACTTCATCACTATATTTGTGATTGTAGTTATCCACGCGATACACAATTTGGCCGTTTGAATCAAAGACAGTGCAACCATTACTGCCAAAAATTAAAGATTTCATCCATATAGTGAAAACTTCTTGCTTAAAGGAAGTTGAAGAGGCAACAAGTACTTGGGGATGAACCTTTGCCATGTCGAAGAAGTGATGTACTTGCAAGTGTTTAGAGAAAATGGAAAAAAGAGGAGAGAAAAAACTTTCTATATTTGCATAGCTTGCCTGTATCTGAGCTAACACATTGTAGTAATCCTTTATACTTTAATGCATCAGATTTACTCCAAACAAATAGCATGAAAAATCAAGCATACTTAAATAATCCAGATGGGTTTTTTTTGTTATTTTTATTTGGAAATAATGTTCTTGAATTATTCTTAGAGAGTAGACAAAACACCCAACATATAACTACAGCTATCATCAGCCATTTTAGATCAAAAGTCTCTTCAAATCACATTATTTATTTGGACCTTATCACTTTAGTGACTCCACAACCTATGTCATGAGAAGCTTTCACTGTTTCTTGGTGGAGATCAAGTCAGATATCCAATTCAATGGCCCGCTTACGCCATTTGGGTTGTTAATCAGCAATAGCAATGCAGATATATGGCAACTACCATACATTTTATAAAATGGTCAAGTTGAGAGCCACTTTAGTAGATATGTTCCAGCAGCGTTTCTCTTTCCTTAAAATATGGACACTATTCAGTTTGTTAATGTGAATTATTTTGGTGATAAGCTAGGAAACTGAATTTTTTAGCAAATTAACATGACAAGAACATAAGTATCTTCCAGAATTTTCAACAGACTTGTATAGGGCACTGGTTGTTAAAATGAATGATAGGCAGGTAAATCATGTTTGAAACATGTTGCTTCCTTGTTTAACATAATGGTCTTGCAGACTCATTTTTCGGTGTCTTGGTAGTCGAGCAAGTAATTTTTATACATCGGTTCAAAAATGCCTACTCCTTCAACTTGTTCTAAAAAAATAGGATTCTTTTGGGGGAAAAAAAGTATGCAGATTCATGCCAGAGTAGTCTACAACGTAGCTGCATGGCTGATCACTGGTTAAACCAGTTCTTACTTACATATAGAACTATGTTGCAGGATGTAGTTGGGCATTAATGATACACTCATTCTAAGTTAACGTGCCTTATATATATAACAAAATGATTAGATTCTGAGGAAAGCAACTTGTCATTTGCTTGAAGACAATTGTTTGTGCAAGACTCTACGTTCTCATTATTTCTTAATATGGTTTGGATTGCACCTTCTGGGAGTCCTTGCAGATTTGTTATCAATACAAGTTGTTGTGTACGTGAACAAGCATATGGGTTTGAATTACGAAACAAACTATGTATTTTTGACTTTCTCTAGTCTCTAGATTAACGTCGAGACTATTGCACACTAGACATTTCACTAGTGATTGAAACTAGTTTAACTAAAGGCCCCTAATCAAATATTTGTTATTTTGCTTGTAGTTAATCATTTCTTATAATCACTCTTAACTCCTTTCTCATAGGTTTTGATAAGTATCATACACAGGGAGGAAGTTAGGTGGCCGACTCACCTTGATTACTTTGTTTAGTTGTTTGCTTGAATGTTTACTTTGTTGGGGTCAGTTGGCTCTTCTAGTATGGCATTGGGCTGTGTTTGGCTCTATTTGACTATCATTGCTAATTAAACAATAATGTTGGATTAAGTCAAAAAATTAAGTTCAAATATTGTTATTTTGATTTTTTATACTCTTTTTATTTGTTGAGCTAGTCATAACCTGTGTCAGAAGACAACATAAAATCCGAGGGTCTAAAAATTGGTCTCACTATATAAAATAACAATTTTTTTCTTTCCTTTCTTTAATTACATAATTTGAAATTAATTTCTATTCATTATTTTTTTAATAATAAAATTGATTTTTTTTTTCAAAATAAATGGCCTGAAAAATACTAACATGTGTAGAATATCATATATGAACAATATCTGAAATAAAAATTGTGTTGAGCTATGACGAGTCCAGATTTAGACCAAGCTTAGGCTCAGTTTATGGGTTTAGCTCAAATCATCAAAAAGCATGCCAAGCTTACTTCATGGCCTTAGTCTAGTACAAAACTCAAGAGTCTAGGAAGAACCAACGCACGTAAGAGAGCAATCATCCTGATAGTCATGACTTTAAGATAGTGTTTATCTCCAATTATAACAATCTTTCTCGATAAACTAATTCCCTGACCTTCAGACACTACTTCAACTAGAGTTATGTACTTATAAATTATAAACCCCTTACACATGGGAGCAGATCTCACACACCTCACCTTGAACATACTATTGTTCTCTTTCTCTTTCTCTCTCTCTTTGTTACTATCTTGTATTATCTCCTTAATAGAGTTCTCTGGTCACTATTGCAACCTTTAGTGGTTAGGTCACCCAGAACCAACCACTTAATATTTGTCTCTTATTATTAACTATTTCATTAATTGTCTTTCATCATACACTCGACTGATTTGATTGTGCATAATCTATTTTGTGCATCATCAAGCTACAAATTAGTCAAAAATAAAATGATTTCACCTGTGGTAAAATTGGGGAGATGTGATAGAAATGGGCGGAAAAAATATAATATGTGTCGACTTGTCTAAATAGAACTCATTTATGAATAACTAGTCATAACTTGTAGTTGAAAGCACAATACAACATAAAAATAAGAGATGTGACAAAAATGGCCAAAAAAATATAAGATGTGTCAACCTTTCTAAATAGTGTTCAGAATGAATAACTAGTCATAACTTGTGCAAGTATGATACTACATAAAATCTGAGCGTCTAAAAAAATTGATATTACTATATCAAATAATAAAATTTTTTTAAATTACATAATTTAAAATTATTTTTATCTATTATTTTTAAAATGAGTGAAAAAATATATAAGGATAATATTTATATATATATATATTTGATCAGAGACAAATTACAACATTTCTACTTAAAAATAGTAATGTCATAACCGTCATATAACTCACACGCACCCAAAGACTATCTGATGTAGGATAGCCTTAGCCTATCACCACCCAGGCCCAAAGGCCTTCTTGTTCATAGAAAGGCTTAAGAGGAATGCAGTTGAACCCACATTGAATCCACCCTGAGCATGCATATTTTTTTGATCAAAGATAAATTAAAACATTTCTACTTAAAAGTAAAAATATCATAGTCGTCATATAACTCTCACACACACACACACACCAAGGCTATCCGACATGGGATAATATTCTGACTCCAAACTCCCCCTCCAACAGTGATTTTGACCGGCTTACCTATGCTGGGTTTGAGCCCGCTGAGAAAAAGTAAGGGAGGCCACCACTTCAAATGGGTTACTAATCGCTTCATAGAACTAAGGCCCATCTCTTCAACCCAAAAAGTCTATTGAATCGTCGAGCCCAAACCTAATCAGGCCTACTCTGGTGCATAAGACCCCGACACTTCCTGTCGCTTCACATTCTCTTCTTGGTCGCTAACATAGACTTGTGAGTAGAAACTCCCCAAAGCAAAACCCTAGAAAAAATGGAGACCTCCACTTACCCAGCGGTTTACCCTTTAGTCATTGACGCCGCCTTCTCCTTCTGTAACTTGGGTTGCCCATAACCGTGAGATTTCTCGTTTACATGGATCAACTGAGTCTTTTCATGGGGTACTTTTCTTCTGAAAGCCTTCACCTCTCTCTCTCTCTCTCATTGATGATGATGTATATATATAGTTGCAGCTGGCCGAGCTGGTTGGCTGAAACATTGCCAAGCAGTAAGTTTTACACAGCTGCCAAATTTAAAATTGGAGGGGCGCAAAACCAGCTCTTTACTGCTAGAGTTTCAGCAGCCAAAGATTGATAGTGCTCTACATTGTCTCTCATTCCATGAATTACTCTATCAATGATTCTTATCCTATTACCTTATTTATAATTTCTTTTGCTGACAATTTTGTGATTTGGAATGGAACTGGAAGACCGTATCTGGCCAAACTTCGTTTTACTCCGATATGATGCTACTATTGGTCTGGCTTTCCAAAGCTTAATACATCCTAATCATGATTAAGTCTTCATGTTTACTGATAAATCTATGATATTGAAATATGTTTTTTGGGTACTATACCTATAAATATTAATTTTTATGGGTTAAAATTATAATTATTTGGAATATTTGAAATTGATCTCAATATTGTAGGATTCATCTTAACCTTTAGGATCCATAGGATCGATTGTAAACAAGGGCGGGCCCACCTTATGTCTAGGCCCCTCAATTTTTTTAAAAAAAAATTATATATATATAAAATATTTTTCGAATATTTTAATTTGTGTTCACCTTAATTTTTAGTCAAGATCGTAAAGGACATGATGTATCCATAAGTTTATTTGTAATTTTGATATTTATTTTTTGTAATGATCACAAATATGATAGAGAACACGTTAAAGAGTTAATCTTAAATTGAACCTTCAAAAAATTATTGAAATTTTAATTTACACCTTTAAAAATCAAAAATCAAAAATTTTAAATTGTACACTCAAAAGTAAAAATTTAAATCAATGTTCATAGGTATAGTGGTGTCCATGGGTTGGGTTGGTTACCTGGTCTAAAAAAAATAAGTCTAAAACTCGATAAGTTCGATAGTTGGCTCGTCTAAGCCAGAGTCCAATATATTTAAAAAGACGTCTTGAGTTTGCCCTCAAATTCATTACTTGGCTCAATAGCTCGTCCGAAAAAAACTATTAAAGCTCAGCTCAAGAACCCCATCCTCCTGCCAAGCTCAACCCACCCATTATTCTTTTGAAAAAAAATTATACTTTTAGATCATTAAATTTGAAACTTGAAAATAAGTCTCTCAATGTCAGAATTTGAAATTTTAAAAATTTAGATATTATAAATAATATATTTTTTTTTTTTTTATGTATTAAGCATTTAAGTTTTAAAAGGTAGAATAATAGATAAGTAAGTAGGTGTCAATTTAGTTGAGATGTATTCATTTTATTGGTTGTAGTTCATTCCATAATCAAAAATAAATTTATTCATTATTTTATTTTTATCTATTTTGACTCTACTTTTGATTGAAAAATATAATTTATATAAATATTAAATTATAAAAATATTTATTATTTTTAAATGAAGTTGTATATATAAAAAAGTTTGCGAGCAGGCCCGCGCCAATAAGCTCATTGGTTAGGCTGCGGGTAGTTCATCCCTACTTGAAGTACGGCCCGGCCGGCTCGATAACTCACTTGAGTAAGAGCTTGGCCCTACACTATCCAAGCCCCGTTCGAAAAAAATTCGTATGTCTAGCTCAGCCCAGCCCAAAAAAATTTCACGAGCTTAGCTCGGCCCGCCCCAAAGACACCCCTAAATACGCATCTCAAATTAACAACCTTGTTTGTCGTCTAAAACTAAATAGATAAATTATATCTAGACCTCTTCATGTTTATCACTTAATCATTTAGTCCCCTCACATTTAAAATATTACATCTATATTCCTTTAGAATCAAAATATAACTAAAAATGTTCCTCCAATTGGATATTCAAATAATTATGTTTAAGTGATATATTACACTAGATATAAAGAACTTTATATAAATACCTGCATTATTTTGGGCATTCAAATAGTAAACTTGATTTTAAACTTTATAGTATAACGAGCCCATAAAATAAAAATTAATATGAAATTATAAATTTTTTGTTAGAATGAAATCATATATTTTTTAATGGTTATATTAACAAATATTAACGATAAATGATTTTGTGTTACATGTGCACAAACGTCAAGAAGTGTAGAAGTAATATTCTAAATGTGACGAAGTCCAAATTATTAAATGACAAACATGAGAGTATCCAGGTGTAATCTATCTATTTAATTTTAGACGACAAACTGACAACTTTTAGTTTTAGGTGTGCATTGATACAAATTTCTATGTTTTAGTGTACAAATTGAGATTTTTAATCTTTAATGGTGTAAATTGAAATTCGAATGATCTTTCAGAGTGCAATTTGTAATTAACCCTATAAAAAATAATAAAGTTAATGCAAAACTTTCAAATTATGAAAATTTACTTGAGTCAATTTTATTTCTCGAAAGGTATAATTAGTTTTTTTTTTGTTATTTTGTATCTACTAGACTTACCAATTTTAGTATTTTGAGTTTAATAAACTTTTAATTATTAAATTGGATGTAATTTAATATAAATATATTATTCAATTTTTATCAATTACAAAAAAAAAAATTAACTTATTAGAATATTCGGTGTCCACCCAAAAATAATTTTTTGGCTCTGATTGTCAACACCCTAATCCGTTGTAACTTTTATGAATTTTAATTTTTTTTTTATTATAATTTGAAAGATGACAACTATACCCCCCGGGGTGGGGGGGCTTTCAATACCTAGGTTGGACCCCATATTGACCAATGACTTGTCAAAATATATGATATCAGATCATCACTCGCCCTGAATCAGCAACCTTGAATCTTGAGTGTTATTTTCTAATAAGTACTCATCCCAAAAATAAATAAAAAAATATTTATTATAACGGATATATCACGCCAATATTATTATATAATATCATTAATTAATAATATATAAATAAATAAGAAAATAGACCTCATACAAGTCAATAATTATTTGTCTATATAAGCAATAATTATCCCCTCTTTTTTTTCATGTAAGTTAATAACGGAGTCATTTTTTTTATTTAGGGTTCTATTATTGGTTGATAATATATGTCATTAATGCTGACATGATATTACCTTTGTATTGAATATTCTCTCCAAAAATATCATTCAACAACTAATAAACACCTTGAAAAAAATATACTAGGAATTCCAAATAAGTAGACCAATAAAAATAGGGACGAGTTGTGAAATTAGATATTCTGAATTCAAAATTTGATAATTCTTTTGGGCGCAAGTCAAGAGAGATTTATTATTCATGAATTATTTAATTTTGACGTGGATGATTTTTTTGACAAGACAAATAAAAAAAATAGTTGAGAAATACATAAATCTAGATATTCTCACCATAATTAAAAAAAAATTAAAATGTATAATAATAAATCCATTTTTTCGTTAAAGTTTCCGCGTGTTGACTCTCTCTCTCTGTTTGTGTGAATGGAAAAATGGACAGAGAAGGGACATTCACTGATTCACATAACATTATCATAAGAACAAACCAAAGGGATACAAGGATAACGTAGCAGCAGTCTAGCTGATATATATGTTAATGATGATCGAGAATTGGAAAAACCACAGCTGCGCATTAATCACATACAAATCTACATGCAACTGTATCGATCTTGAAGAATCATAGAGATTACGAAATTGAAGGATTAGAAGAAAAACATTGCACAAGAGAAACGGTATGTGGGTGAATTATCCACCTACCAGTCCATTACCTTTTTATCTCCTTCACGGCTTTTTTCTGTCTTCGTGTCGCAAATCTGTTGGCCTGCTTTAATTTTTGTCTTCACTCGGAGGTCTGATTGCGATCATTGATTGTTTCCCAAGGTACACACAGCTTAGATGATGGATAGGTTCACGTCTTTTTCCCCCAATTATGACGTTTTGGTTTTTGACGACGCAAATTTGTTGATTGTTATTAATTTGTGGTTTGAATAATTGGTTTTTAGCAGAGCATTTTATATTCGGGAGCTCTTGAATTTATTGATTGGGAGTTCATGGACACCGCGTTTTGGGAATGATTTGAAGACAGTTTGGGTTTGGATTTGGATTGGATTTTCTTGAGAAAACGTGTTCGCCTGATTTTGTCCGCGGTATATATAAGGTACGGTGAATTTTTTGCTGTTCTTGGGATTTTGAATTTCTGTCTTCTCTGTCCAATTCAAATTTTGGGTTTTGAATACTGTTAGATTTTCCAACTGTATCAAACAAATCTCTAATTGGGCTTTCTGTGCATGAATTTGAGTACTCAAGGTTCATCGGTGGAGGCAATTTCGAGGAATCGTGATCGCCCTAGTTTTGCGAATTGGTTGATCCACTCTAGTTTGAGATTTTGTAAGCTTTCTTGGATTTAAATAGATAATCAAGAACTGTAGTTACTTTAATCGTCATTCGAATTGGGACTTGATTGATCGATGGCGGCCTTCTAGTGTTCGGATAGTTGTGGCATCAACAATTATACATAGGAGTGAACGGAATCCTTGGAATTTAGGGTCAATTTCTCTTGTTTTCGACCGAACTTGTTTGGATTTTCATCTTCTTGGAAGCTTAGGATTTAATTGGGTTTATCACTCTCTCTTTCTTGGATCAGACCACCTTCATCACCTCAGTTGTATCTGTGAATTGGTTATGACAGTAGCCAAATGAGCATTTCAAAATGAGAGACACGAGAGGGATTGTTTGTAGATGGAGGTGCCGGACCAGCCATTTTCTGATCTAATAGGCATTCTGAAATCATGGGTCCCTTGGCAGTCTGAGCCTGCTAATGTGTCGAGGGACTTCTGGATGCCCGATCAGAGCTGTAGGGTATGCTATGAATGTGATTCCCAGTTCACATTGCTTAACCGTAGACACCATTGTCGACTTTGTGGCCGTGTTTTTTGTGCCAAGTGTACTTCACATTGGGTTCCTGCTCCATCTGGTGAGCCGAGGACTCCGCGGGAAGAAGGGGACAAAATTAGGGTCTGCAATTACTGTTTTAAGCAACGGAAGCAGGGCTTAGCTGCTACTGTTGACAATGGGATCCATGTTGCCAGCATGGATCTCAGTACTTCGCCATCAGCGACAAGTTTCATCAGCACCAAGTCTGACAGTGGCACTGCTGACAGTAGCTGCATTACTCTTTCATCAATGCCACTCTCTTCTGGGCTTAGCCCAAAATCTGTAGTAATGGAAACAAATGCAGACAGGCAAGGTATTGTAGCATCAGAGAAGAGCAATCATCATGCTGCACATATGGGGGACCAGTCTTCAAAAGAATATGGCTTTGACAACAGGTTTAATTCACATCTCTGCTTCTTAGTTTTTTCTTCTTGAGTTCATGATATAATTTATGCAGATTTTTAACTTGTAAGGGGGGTGGTATTAACTGACATTTCTAAGGAGAAAATTTATGACATCTTACTATAATCTATACTAATGGTGGATTGCCCCATCATATTGGGCCACTGCATGTCACTTGTAATGACATGTGGAACTCAAGGTGAAGTCATCACATTAGCTATCTTTGCCCCCCAGGCTATACTTGGTGAATGTTTAAAATTGAGCTCAAGGTGAAGTCCCTGATGCTTGTTTCCTGCTTAGGGAATTAGGGAGCCATCCAAGCTCTTTGCTTGTCAATGCATGGTTCTATGGTTACTCCTGTTGCATTGATTTGAGGTCTTTGGTTTGGTCGTCAGAATAGTGGCTCTGTAGAGTTGCAATCTACCTCAAATAAAAGGCAGTTACTGGAGCCTCAGTTTATGAGGTGGAGACTCGGGGACTATTTTTTGTGGTGACAATTGTCATATTGTCTGCTAAATCAATGTCTAGACTGTTTAATGTGAATTCTCACGTGTGCGACAAAAGTAAGCTAATCACAGATTTGAAGCTTTTCTTTCCTTATGTGTTTTAACTCTATTTGACCATAATCTCATCTCATACTTGGAACTTGAATTTATGTTTCTCACACTTCCTCTCTGATTGTGCTATTTCTCCTCCTGTCAGTTGTTTTGCTTTCCTCATTGTGCTCTCTGTCTCATCTTCTACAATAATTGCTAACAGTCTATGCCTGTATTGATGTATCTGTTGCAGATTTATTTACTATTTTATCTCGTAATGTAGATGTGAAGTTTACAGGTGAGACTAAGGTGTGTTATCTGTGTTTCATAAGGTATATGGTTCTGAAGATGATTGACGGAGAGTGTCAAGAGTGAGGCAGTGGGTCTTACCTCTTTTCTCTTCCACATTATGTTCTAAATGATTGTATTGAATCGTAAAATCAATATGTCATTAGCCTTCCCTGTATACATTTTCAAGGACATGTGACATTATAGTGTGGACTTCACGTGGTTTCTGTATATGCTAATGGTGCTTTATCATTCCTTGGAAGAGTTGATACACAACTACACTTCATCTTTTTTTATTATTTTTCACTGAGATTCTGTTAATTTGGCTTAATTAATTGGTAGTCGTGTATTGATGTTTTTGGTTACTTTCACAAGCAGTGTGTAGCAGGATGAGCACCAAACTTTGGTTTTAATGTATTTAGTACAGGAATTCATACTTGGTATTTATGAGGCAGCCTGGACTCTTCTGTGTCTTTCAAGCTTAGAAAATAGAAAGCTTTTATACGGGAGAGGATGAAGTTTTGATCCTCAGTAGCATATCATATCATCCGTTCAATATGTCAATCAGTTATATTTGGTTGTCAATAACTCCTACCACATTTGTGGACACTTGGAGACAAGAAAACTAGAAAAGTAGCTGAAAAAATGGGTCGGGACATAACCACGCGCAAAAGAAAAAAAAATAAGAGTGCAATGTGCCCTTTGATGTAATTTTAATTCTGCGGCTTTAATACAGGTACTTGGTATTTTCCAGATCTTGTGTGTTGTAATTAATCAATTGTTGTTTGCATGTTCTTAAGTATCAGGAGTGACAATGAAGACGATGAATATGGAGTTTACAGGCTAGATTCCAAAACAAAGCATTTTTCTCAGCTTAATGGCTACTATGATCAAGTGCAGTTTTATGAGGATGACAATGACTATGGATCCCATAAAGTGCATCCTGATGAAGAAGCTGTCCTTACAAAAAGTAGGAGCAGCTCTCCCTTGCACAATAGTTTTGATTCTCATTGTTCCGAAGGAGTGCAGCAGCTTGTGAAAAAAGAGGAACATGATATTGGTGATGAATGCGAAGCACCTTCCTCTTTATATGCTGCAGAAGATGTTAATGATGTACCTGTAGATTTTGAGAGTAATGGAGTTATTTGGCTCCCCCCCGAACCAGAAGACGAAGAGGATGAAAGGGAAGGTCTTCTATTCGACGATGACGATGATGGGGATGCAACTGGAGAGTGGGGATGTCTTCGTACTTCAAACAGTTTTGGAAGTGGGGAGTACCGGAGTAGGGACAGGTCAAATGAGGAGCACAATAAGGCCATGAAGAATGTGGTTGATGGGCACTTCAGGGCTTTAGTAGCTCAGCTGTTGCAGGTTGAGAACCTTCCCATCGGTGAGGAGGACGACAAAGACAGCTGGTTAGAGATAATTACGTCTTTGTCCTGGGAGGCTGCTACGTTATTAAAGCCAGACATGAGCAAAGGTGGGGGAATGGACCCAGGGGGATATGTAAAGGTGAAATGTATAGCTTCCGGACAGCGCAATGAGAGGTAAAGGCTACAGTTGTATAAACTCGTGTACATAAATTTTCATTATGCTACCCTATGTCACTCTAACGCCAACTCATCAATCTAATTTTTTGCTCATTGAGCCATACTGGCACATGCTACAACATAGATATTATCAGATTGGAGTCATTAGCCAATCGTGGCATTGTTGAGTGGTCTGAGTCGTTGCACACTTTTCCTTCCAGTATACTGATTTGTATCAGTTGATGATTCGCTACATTTTTTGTTTATCTTTTATTTATTCTATTGCGCTTAAAAGAGTAGAAAGTCGATGGAATGTACAAATTTTGGAGCAACATAGGGCAAGTTCGTAAAACATTTTGAGACCAATGTAGATAGTCAATAAGTGGTGTTTTGCCACATTCTGCAGTAAGCAACACTACATTTTGTCATTCCCATTTTGCACAATGGAGCTTTTCACATCCTCAGTGGCATTTGTGTACACTATTTCACACTCTACATGATGTAGACAGAGGCACTAGGTGTGGACATAATGGGACACAGATAGACTGACACACATTGTAGGACACTGAGAAGACAATCCTTGATGTGGTATTTATTCTTATGGGATAATACATAACTTTCTTTTCAGTGTTCCTGTGTATGTTCTTGCTTATTTTCCTAATTTTTTATATATATCTATAATTGAATGATGTGGACAAGGAAAATGAAGCTCCACTAATATCATCCAAATAATATTATGTATATTACTCCTTTTAGGACTTCTCTTTCCTTGTGATTTTCTATTTTCATTTATTTTCTTTGTGCTGCGATCTGTATGGTGTCAATTTTATTATTGATATGTACAGCGTATTGCAATTCTGTTGTAAAAGATCTTTTTCCAATGTCAAAAGTTTTCAGGCCACACTACCAGTCCCATATTCTCATATGGCCATTTAGTCAGTATATTCCTTGTGTACTGTACTTCTGAACTTTAATTCTGCATCTTGTTTCTGTTGCACTCCTTTTAAGTGTAGTTCTCTTACGATGATCGTTTTCCATTTAGTATGGTGGTCAAAGGAGTTGTTTGTAAAAAAAATGTGGCTCATCGGCGGATGACATCCAGAATAGACAAACCTCGCTTTTTTATCCTTGGAGGGGCTCTGGAGTATCAGCGGGTTTCTAACCACTTGTCAAGTTTCGATACTCTGCTGCAACAGGTGGTGATTCAGTAACCTTTTATATATCATAGTTGTTGCATATACCTTGTAACTGATTAGTTTTTCCTTGATCTTTCATTTGTGGTTTTACTTCCTTATTTAGGAAATGGATCATTTAAAAATGGCTGTTGCAAAGATAGATGTACACCATCCCGATGTCCTGTTGGTAGAGAAATCGGTGTCCCGATATGCACAAGAGTACCTACTTGCAAAAGACATATCACTTGTTCTCAATATCAAGAAGCCACTTTTGGAGCGTGTAGCCCGCTGTACAGGTGGTCAAATAGTCCCTTCAATTGACCATCTTTCGTCGCAGAAGTTGGGGTACTGTGACATGTTCCATGTTGAGAGGTTTCTAGAAGAGCATGGCTCTGCCGGCCAGAGTGGGAAAAAGTTGGTGAAAACATTGATGTTTTTTGAAGGATGTCCAAAGCCATTGGGTTGCACTGTGAGTCTTCCAAACTAAGAAGAAGACAAGTAAAGTTATTTTGAAATTAAATATTTGAATTTTTACATACTTCTATGTGCCACATTGCACAACCATGGATGGGGGCAATTGTTTCTTTAAATTATTGCAGATATTGAGGATTTTAAAGTTTTTCATTAGCTCTCATCCAATGACTATTGACTAAAAGATCATCTTGGTGGGCACTTCCTTTTTTTAGTGTCTTAGTTGCTGATAGACCCTCTTATAAGACTTTTTTAAGTACTGTTAGTCCTGTGAAGATTTTAATCGGCTTTCTTGCTTTCTTTGTTTCAGATAATGCTTAGAGGTGCCAATGGGGACGAGTTGAAGAAGGTGAAGCATGTGGTCCAGTATGGTGTTTTTGCTGCTTATCACTTGGCCTTGGAAACATCTTTTCTTGCTGATGAAGGAGCCTCTCTCCCAGAACTTCCGTTGAACTCTCCAATAACAGTAGCGCTTCCAGACAAACCATCAAGCAATGACAGGTCCATTTCAATGGTACCTGGTTTCACAGTTCTCTCTAATGGAAAAACTCAGGGACCTCAACCTTTTGGTGAGCTACAGACGTCCATCACTGTCCCCACTTCAGATGTGCTCTCGACGATCACCAGTGCTTACATTAAACAGGAAATGCCTCTATTGCCTAGTGTAGTTAATGCTTCTAACTCTCCATACATGAAGCCTCCTTCGCATGCTATACCATCTGCTGCTTCTTTCTCCTCCATTGCTTCTTCTGGGCAAGATTTTTCATTTTCTTACGACAATGAAGCCTTTCCTTACCATCCGGTGGAGGAAAAAAGTTTAATGGGTTCAAAAGAGTCTCCTTGGCTGAAGACTTCTGTGCTTAACTTTGGTCAAGACGCCATGGGAGATTGTTTCGCTGCAAATGATTTTGGGCCTCTGGAGGCCTTGGGGCAAAGTGTTGTATCCAACAAGTTGCAAAATGATTGCAGCGCATTGGTTGCAGATCAAAGTAGTACAAATCCTCAATCTCTGCAAGGAGATGGTAAAAGTGTTCGTGAGGAACCAGTTTCTTCAAAGGAAGAATTTCCGCCATCACCTTCTGACCAGCAGAGCATTTTGGTTTCCTTATCATCCCGGTGTGTGTGGAAAGGGACTGTCTGTGAAAGATCTCATCTATTTCGAATAAAATACTATGGCAACTTTGATAAACCATTGGGCCGTTTCTTACGCGATCAATTGTTTGATCATGTAATCTCTTTCTCTATGCCTTTCTTCCTGGAAACTTTCATTTGCATGAATTCTGACTAAGAACTCTTTATTTGTTTATTAGGGTTATAGATGCCGTTCTTGTGAGATGCCATCAGAGGCACATGTCCACTGTTATACTCATCGACAAGGTACCCTCACTATTTCTGTGAAGAAGTTGCCAGAATTTCTCTTACCTGGTGAAAAGGAAGGAAAGATTTGGATGTGGCACAGGTGCTTGAGGTGTCCACGGACTAACGGTTTCCCTCCAGCAACTCGACGAGTAGTTATGTCTGATGCAGCTTGGGGCTTGTCCTTCGGGAAGTTTTTGGAGCTCAGTTTTTCAAACCATGCTGCGGCTAGCAGGGTAGCAAGCTGTGGCCATTCTCTACATAGAGACTGTCTACGGTTCTATGGGTAATCTCTCACACCCAACCTTATATATCCTGTTATATTGGTCTTGAGCATTACAACTTTTTCTCCCTCCTATTGATGTCTTTGACGAACCTGGAAGCCATGTTTATCCAAAAAAAACTTTTTGGATTGATAAACCATGTGAATTATGTGAATAGGGCCACTACATCTTTGGTTGGTCATAGGGATTTTGTTAGTGATTTAGGAAATGCCTATTATATTTCTCATTTTTTGCTATCTAGCTTATGTCTTTCGGCAGGAGTTTGTAAAATCAAGAAGTTTGTTTCTGTTGTACATTCTTTGGCACCTTGATGAGAGTTTTATATGGGCTTCTCATTTTCTCTCAGTTTTCATTTTTATTACTTTTGCAGATTTGGGAAAATGGTCGCTTGCTTTCATTATGCCTCAATTGATGTTCACTCAGTCTACCTTCCTCCCTCCAAACTTGATTTTAAGTATGAGAGTCAGGAGTGGATACAAAAGGAGCTTAATGAGGTGCAGGGATCACAATTTTGGCTTCTTAACTGTCAATTGAAATCTCACTGTGCATGTGTGACCTAATTGTTTGAACTAAACAGGTGGTTTGCCGGGCAGAGCTTTTATTTTCTGAAGTACAAAATGCTCTCTGTCAGATGGTGGAGAAAAGATCTGGCACATTCCCATCGAATAGTGGCATTAACACACCCGGATCAAGACACCAGATAGCAGTTTTGGAAGCGATGCTACAAAAGGAAAAGGCAGAATTTGAGGTGAAGCCTTCAGTTAATACGTTTAATATCTTTTCTGCACTGAATTTCACATTTTCTGTCCTAGATGTTGTACTTTATTTGTATCTACTGCAAATATTTATTCTTAAATTGGAATGCATGTAGATGAAGGCGGCACTCTTGGAATGGTTGTTCAATCAATTTGTTCCTTATGCGCAATCTAGTACTAATTTGGTCATATTCATCTTAATATACTCTTATCATTAACTATTGAATTTGATGAACAACATACTTCTGCCCTTGTTGTGTTCAAGTATCCGACAAGTTCCTTCTTCATGATTAGTATTCAACCAACTACCCTGACAAGTCATTATCTAATATGTGGGGTTGGCAGACGGCAGACCCAACTTTTGTATTGTAGCAGGGGAAAATATTAAAATTGAAGGGAGAAGTATCTTCTTGGATCAATTACAACCCCCGCCCCAGAAAAACACACACAAAAAAAAAAAAGAAGGCGAAAAAATAAAACTAAAGAAACCAATGCGGTGCAATAATGGTTTGCTATGTTCGTTGGTAAAAGTTTCCTATTAGTCCTCTATTGTGCACCAAAAAAGAGAAGTCTTCTGTTTTGCATGAGTTACAAAAATATTGTTTGTTTACTATAAAACAGCACTTTGTTGTGACTTGTGAATAAGTCGCTCGATCCACGTGTGGATTTCGACAGCAATATGATGGTTTCAACTGAATGGGACCATGAAAGTTTCAATTTCATGGAGATTTTTACCATAAAATTTCTGATCCATTTTGATTTCAAATCGACAATGTTTTAAACATATGCAACATTTCTGCTTTCAACATGTGAGCTGTGATGAATACCTTGGTATTGTTGCAGGAATCACTTCAGAAAATTCTGAACAAGGAGGCGAAAAAGGGCCAACCTGCTATTGATATTCTTGAGATTAATCGACTTCGAAGACAGTTACTCTTTCAATCTTATATGTGGGACCATCGCTTGATTCACTCAACCAAGTTAAATAGTAACTACCTTCTTGGAAATCCATGTGGGTCCAATCCAGAACTTGTAGAGAAACCCCTCTCTGCTTATGGGAAGCTCATTGATATTCCTGTTAAACCAGGCAAAGATCTGGGTGGTTGTGACTCTGTTCTTTTGGATGCAAAGATCAAGGAAAGTCATGATGATGGTCGAGGAATCGGTAGCCATGGTAACCAGCCTGAACTAGTTCATCATGGAATTTACAGGGATTCATATTCAAATCATGGAGAAGAAAGCCAAGATAATATTTCTACTGGTCTAAACGTATGTGTTGATTCTGATCCTTTGGAATCCAATATAGTTGTTCATAGAACCCTCTCTGATGGACAGGCCCCTATCATTACAAGTTTGTCAGACACCCTTGATGCTGCATGGACTGGGGAAAATAACCCAGATATTGGAATACCGAAGGAAAATACTTTCGTATGTCCTGAACCTGCTGTGTCAGATTCTTCATCCATCATGGTATTGGCAGAAAAGTTGGACATGGAAGGAGACCAGGATGGGCCCAAGGCATCCCATTTTCCGCCTGTGTTACCCACTAAAAGCTCAGATAACATGGAAGACTTTGCGAGCTGGCTGGGAATGCCCTTTATAAACTTCTATCGCTCATTGAACAAAAACCTTTTAGGCAGTGTGCAGAAATTGGGTACACTTGGGGAGTATAACCCGGTCTTTATTTCATCATTTCTTGAGTCGGAACTCCAAGGAGGGGCTAGGTTGCTCCTGCCTGTGGGTGTCAATGACATGGTTGTCCCAGTCTATGATGATGAGCCCACAAGTATCATATCCTACGCACTGGCTTCTCCTGGTTATCTTGTTCAACTATCTGATGAGCCTGAAAGGCAAAACGACAGTAGCGATTCTACATACCCAATGCAGTTGCTTGATTTGGGGAACTTCCAGTCCTTCTATTCGCATGATGACATGGTATTGGAATCATACAGAAGTCTTGGATCTATAGATGATAGCATCTTATCTATGTCTGGGTCTCGTACCTCCCTGGTTCTGGATCCAGTTTCATATATTATGAAGGCTTCGCATGCTAGAGTTTCTTTTGCAGATGATGGACCCCTTGGTAAGGTAAAATATGCAGTGACTTGTTACTTTGCAAAGCGGTTTGACGCCTTGAGGAGAATTTGTTGCCCATCTGAGGTGGATTTCATAAGGTCTCTTAGTCGTTGTAAGAAGTGGGGAGCCCAAGGTGGCAAGAGCAACGTCTTCTTTGCGAAAACCCTAGATGATCGGTTTATCATCAAACAGGTTACAAAGACAGAGCTGGAATCATTCATAAAGTTTGCTCCCGAATACTTTAAATATCTATCTGAATCAATTAGCACTGGAAGCCCGACATGCCTGGCAAAGATTCTTGGGATTTATCAGGTATTTTCTAAATGACTGGAAATGCGAATCGAACTAAGCAATTAATTGACCAGTCACTTTGCCACGCCCAAACATTCGTGTTGAAAAGCTGATATACTTGACTTTGAATCTCATTTTAATTGGTGCATACTTGTCTGGTTCATCCAAATAGGAGGGCATAATTAAGGTCTCCTGTTGATATAGACGACAAAGTTGCTATATAGGCATACAAAGAAGTTCTTTATATTCTTTATGTCCACCCCTCACTTTTGGAATGTCCCCCTGAAAACAAGTGAATGTTGAATAAGTACTTCTAGGCTTACTATATAATCGTCCCATTCTTATTCGTTTGTTAGTACTGGATGCCATGGATGATAATACGTACCTCGGACTTCCGAGAACTTAAGTATGAATTTCATCAGTATCTGGGTACCTATGTAAACTGCATCATTACCAGCATGGATGCTGTGTTGCCTGTTTAAGGTTTAGCAGTTAGGTAATGGTGATTTCAATATAGAGGAATTGTGCTTCATTTTCTCTTTAATCTGACATTTACTCTGATTTTTAATGGTAATTTTGGTCAACGACATTTGTTACATTAGGTTGTTTTTTATTGCAATATGGTTCTCTATTGTCAGCGTGGAGCTTCCAGCATAATATGGTGTTTTTGGTGGCTAATTGTAGCTGTATAGATTCAATTGGATTACGTTTGCATTGACAGGTTGTGCTGTGTGATCAGGAGTATCTGTTGCTCTGATCCATGTTGTCAAAATTCATGTTTTCATTTTCCACTTGGTACACTTTTGAAACTTCATCTTTTCATTGGCTTTATGTCTAAAGGTCACATCAAAGCATCTTAAGGGAGGAAAGGAAACAAAAAATGGATGTGCTAGTCATGGAGAATCTTCTGTTTGGAAGAAATCTTACAAGGCTTTATGATCTCAAAGGATCTTCCAGATCACGGTATAATGCCGATTCTAGTGGAAATAATAAGGTTCTCCTGGACCAGAATTTAATTGAAGCAATGCCAACTTCTCCTATATTTGTTGGAAACAAGGCAAAGCGATTGTTGGAAAGAGCTGTCTGGAATGATACCGCTTTTCTTGCTGTAAGCTTTACAACTTTCTCTGTTGTTGTTCAGCATACTAGTCACTACAGCATTAAAATGTTTTGTATGCGCAACATAAAAGGTTTACTGTTCACCATGTGGAAACCCCACCTCCCACCCCAAAGACACTAGGCTTTTGTGCAAACATAGTCACTTAACAATGAAATTATTTGAAACTGCCTCAGTTTGGATGAAAGTTTTGCATCTGTATTTCTTTGTAATATTAGATAAAACTTGCATTCTGCTGAAATATATAGATGAGCTAGTTGTGGTGAACGGTTTGTCTGTGAGGCATCATGTCATGTTATCTCAACCCCATATTTCTTGATTTTCTTCGTCGATAGTTCTACAACATATTCCCAGAATGTATTTTGTACACATGGGCTGTTCCCATTCGTTCAACTTGCATAAATGTGTGTTCGACAATTTAATACATTGTTGAATTTGTTCTTGCAGTCGATTGATGTGATGGATTATTCGTTACTTGTTGGGGTGGATGAAGAGAAGCATGAACTTGTTCTTGGGATTATTGACTTCATGAGGCAGTATACATGGGACAAGCACCTTGAGACTTGGGTGAAGGCTTCTGGCATCCTCGGTGGACCTAAGAATGCGTCTCCAACAGTAATCTCACCCAAGCAATACAAGAAGAGGTTCAGAAAAGCCATGAGTACCTATTTTCTGATGGTCCCAGATCAGTGGTCACCACCGACTATTATTCCATATAAGTCTCAGACTGATTTATGTGAAGAGGATACTCAAGGTGGGACCATGGCCGAGTGATACTGTAAATCTGTTTGATTGTACATGTTGGAACTTTAATTTGCAAATTAGTCATCCCCGTCAGTTTTCCATTGACCATATAACATTTATTTCTTTCTCCCTCTTCGAACCTCCCCCTCTTTCCTTTTGTCAATTATTTTTGGATAGCTTTCCATTGTATTCTAGCAGAAATTAGAAATTCATGATTGTTTGGCGGAAGATGCAGAAAAAGGCAATTAAAGCCATGAAAATATCTTAGGGGTACAAGTATTAGGTGATCTCCCCAAGAAGATTTTGTACAAACTTTTTTTCTTGTATTAAGCATTTCAATATGTATATGAATTACAGAAATGCAATTACATTTATTTTTTGGTTTGATATCTGACATTTTGGAGCAGCAAAATGTAACATAAAGTTATTCCCTCTTGTTTGCTTTTCTATTATGGTTAAATATCTTAGTATTGATCAGGTTGATGGAGGAATGGATGAACTGAAATTATGGAGTAGTTAAGCATATAGTAAGCCTAGTCAATAGTTGAAGGCTTCATAGTCTATGCTTTTAGAAAAACAGGTGGTAGAAGTTCTCAATAGATAGATCTTTATGTTCAATGAATTCATTAGCTGCACTCATACCATCAAGTAATCTCCATATTAACCGACTGTTTGTAATATATACCAAACTCTCTGTTGTCTGATTCCATTTTTTCATTTTTGGCGTACAATGTCGTATTGGTTTTCCTTCAAGTGGCAAGACTGAGATATCGCTTCTCTGTTATTTTTCTAGCTCTAGGATTGGGTTTATTTTTGTTTCACATAGTCTGAATATGGGTTCCTCTTCTTCTAGTGAGTAAGTCACCCTGTTTGCATCTGTTGGCATCATTTTTTGTCATCTTATTATATGCTATGATATTTCTTATTCGAATGGATCAATTCCCATGGCTATGAAAGCTCTCAAGTGACCTAAGGATCTTTGTTATGACGGGAGAGGGGGAAAGAAGGGGTTGGGGGGGGGGGGGGGAGCTGTGTTTGCCTGATACAGAATTGACAGGGTGCTTTTGTTGTCGAGGTGCAGGATTAGGAATGTTTAACAAAGTTCAATTATACTTGTACACTTTGGGAAATATGAATGAATGCATTTACTTACCAAATTATATATATACACATCAGGAGTCCATTGATGAGAAGGGATTGGGAAAGCTTGAACCCAGTTCCTACAGTAACACATATGAGAGCAATTGAAATTCTTGTGTAGTTATACATTTGTGTATTGAGAAGACCGTTCACTATTTCGTGAAGCTCAATCTCTCCCTAAGTTCACCTCACTCTCAATCGAAGTCTAAAAAAGGCTGTCCAATCCACTTAGTAGTAGTAGTTTTCAATGTAAGTTTGTGTGTTAAGATTGGGAATAGGTTCATTAAATCGTTCTAGTTGGAAGTAGTTGTTCTGCAGGAGCAGCAGGATAGAACTGGAACTCAGAATGTAATTACAAGGCCACATGAAAGTACTCTTTCTATGCTTATCATTTACAGAAAACCATTGACAGGAAAAAAAAATGTCTTGCTGTTACAGAATAATGAGAACAGGCGTGAAGAAGTGAAGATTATTGGCTAAAGGTTATAGCATTTCTTAGCAGAACGAGTTGGATTCCTTGGGGTTGAGATTTTTTTGCCCAACGACATCTTCATCCGCGTGGTTAAGTTTATTACTATCGACGATTTGAAGCCAACACCTTTGAAGGTCACTAATATCAGAATCTCTGAAACACGTAAAATCACGTACAAAATCACTTGTTGAGGTGCTAGTTGGACAACAATTTTGTATGCTATATGCTAGGATAATTACTTACCTTGTATTATAAGCCAAGATAGAGAATTGTTGACGAAGGTGAGGGCCCTCGTCGTATCCCTCACATACTATCTCCCCACTATCATCTTTATAACAAATGATACCCTCGGATTGATCTTCGTAAACCTACCAGAAAATAATTGTGGGTATCAATTAGAAAGTGTGATTATTTATTGATGTATTATTATTCGTTGAACTAGTAGAGATCTGATAGCTTATGACTATCAACAAAAGCAATCGAGTTCTAGTTTGAAAATCAATTTTTTTTGAAATGGGTTAGATTGACGGAATACAAATGAAACTGAATAGAAGCTAGAAAGTCAATGTTTCGCAAGTATGAGACAAAACCTTGTTCTTGAAAGATGATGTGATCTGAAGTATAGTTGTACTCTTGACTGATACATGAGCCTGTGCAAGCATTAATACTCTACTAACAGGCTTTTTGACTGAGCTAGGTTTCTGAATTATGAAAGCAGGTGAAGGGGAACATCTTACAGCCATGGATCCACTGTTGAAGAAGAAGAAGAAGAAGAAGACAAGTTTTTCTATGTATGCTATGGGTGTGGAATGGTTGTTTTGTAGCTTATATTATAAAACAGAGTAATGACGTGGTTTAGGTTGTGTTTTCCAAAGTTAAAAATATATTTTAAAAGCTAATAATGTCTATTTATGAGTATTATATAAGTAAACGTACAACAGGTAGGCTCCATTAGCTTATCTTCTTCACTGTTGATGATGGTGAATTCTGAGTCATTTCGTATGGCATGATATTTTGTTTGACTAATAGCTTCGTCGTTCGCGCTCTTGTAATAGTGATCGACAAAAAAATGGTTTGGTGGTGATTATATGGGTGGTTTGGTTTATGGTTCAAATGGGTATATCCTACAATGTTTAAGTTTGATTGGCTCTCGGCGCTTGATAGTGAACACACCCTCGGAATAAATTGCAATGACCTAGTTAGATGGTGCAATATTTGAACTCATAACTATATAATCTTGCTCAAAGAGTTCGTCCATTATTAGTTCGAGATTGTGTACATCTAACCATTCTCAAGTTTTTAATGACAATAATCTAGTATTTTTTTTTTTGGTTGGATGCTAGGTAATCAATTGATCGTCTCTTTCTATGCCAACAACCTATGGTTGATTTAGGCCTATTTCTTAGTCCTTCCTTGTTTATATATGTAGTTTTTCATCTCTTTATTCTCCTAGTCATCTCATTTGTTAGCCTTCCTTTTCAAAATTTCTGACTCTTTTCTCTCATCTCTTTTTCAAAAATACCATCACAAGAGGCAAAATGTCTCTTTACAATGATGCATCTAGGAATCAATTTGATGGCAAAATGCTTTAGCAAAAACACAAGAATAATGCTAGACTGACCAAATTTTGAGATTAAATTTAGAGTCCAAATGACATCACACTAATAAAAAAAACTTAAGTCAATTGTCATTTGGACTTCAAATTTGGTCCTAAAATTTGGTCAATCTAACATTACTGAAACCACAATACCACCCTCTAAAATTCATCAGTGTAGATTACGAGAGTCAATTTCACCCATTTACCATGAACTTTGATAACAACCCAACACAATATATATTTAAATAACATAACTGATTAACACATATTATAAGTCAATCAAGTTAGTGTTAAACATCGATGATCTTTCATAGTTGCAAGTTGTAATTTGTAATAAAAATCTAATCACTTCATTTACTTGCTCAAATTATATGAATATCAATAAATAGTTTATTCAAACTCACACATCTTGATGTTACACTACATGAATTGTGTTTACGCTTGAATAATTTATAATAAATACTAATAGTAATATGAAGCAAAATTACTCAACTCGAGTATAATACACAACTAAAAATAAAAACACAACATGACTCGCTTAATACTCCTATTATATTTTGGCAATGCATTTTCATTACTAACGTCGAAGTGTGGAAATGGGAGAGGAGGAACACGAAGACCCAAGAGACATGGTAGAAGGAAGCACATACAATGATAAAAAGCTGAGTGAGTTAATAAGAGTTCATAAAGGATCAGTAATTTAGTCTAATGACCATCGTACTTCACTGTTAAATAGTTATATCGTGAGTTCAAACATCACTGTCCATTCCTTATGCAAGTACAAAACAATGAAAATAATAACTATAGTAATAACTGTAAGGGGTAGAAATCGCTACGGATCTCATTCCTCTATTTGAAGGATTCCGGCTGACCTGACAGCACCGAGTCCCAGTAGCCTTTACCTCTCTTCGCCAATAGGACCATTTCTTAAGGCAATCACACATCGGAAGAGAGTCGTCTTCCCTCCTGCCATATAAGTGAACACTTCCTATGGAGGAGGTATCCACTAGCGACCTGATCAGGTGCCTAGTGAATACCTCCTCCATAGAATTACAAAAAGACCCCTTTTTATAAGGGGTAAAAATCACTACGAATCTCATCCCTCCACTTGAAGGATTCCGGCTGGGGAAGACGACTCTCTTCCGATGTAGGATTGCCTTAGGAAATGGTCCTATTGGCGAAGAGAGGTAAAGGCTACTGGAGCTCGGTGCCGCCAGGTCAATCGGAATTCTTCAAGTGGAAAGATGAGATCCGTATCTCATCCCTCCACTTGAAGGATTCCGGCTGGGGAAGACGACTCTCTTCCGATGTAGGATTGCCTTAGGAAAGGGTCCTATTGACGAAGAGAGGTAAAGGCTACTGGGGTCCTATTGACGAAGAGAGATAAAGGCTACTGGGGCTCGATGCCACCAGATCAATCAGAATTTTTTAAGTGTAAAGATGAGATTCGTAGCGATTTCTACCCCTTACAATAACAAGTGTTTCTAAGGTTCTGACAGTAGGTTACCAGCTCACCCTCGCAATAGGGTTACAGGATAACCTGACTTATCCAAAAGCCAAATGTCCTCACATTTATAAGAAATAGGGTTGGACTGTTTCTGTCCTGCAAACTGATCTGGCGGTAACTCACATGAATTCAAAGGTAAAGGTAAATTCATGTTCTTCAAACGGAAATATCTCGATATATTTTCGGGAACTTCTACACTGTCGTCCACGACACCAAGACCGAAAGTTATAATTTTTTTAATATGTAAGTTATAACTCCGTTGAGCATGATCGATTATAGAATATTATGATTAATACAACATTTTTTATGATTGATTATGGGTTTTTGTGATCGATCATGACATCCCTTTAACAGTTATAAATTTTTTTTTTTTTAAATTTATAACTTTATCATACAAAGTAGTAATCAACGGTACTGGTATCAATTTTTTTTTTCAATACAATAGAGTTTCCCTATATTTTTTAGGGCTTGACTATGGTACTATCAAAAAAATATCGGTATCAAACTTCTAATATTTACTATTTCAAAAAATATTTTTGTAATTTTTCTGGGTCATTTTACAATTAAATATTTTTAATCACTTTTGTAGATATTTTTGCTATTGTTACGAGTGTTTTTATCAACTATTTTTACCATTTTTTTTTGGTACAAAAAAAATTATTACTTTTACGAGTAATTTATCACAATTATGAATATTTTTTAGGGGTGACAATCGTATCGTGTCAATTCGTGTTCGTATCGAGTACTAGTCAATCATAACTCAATCCGTTTAACTAATTGTGTCGTGTCCTATCGAATTATTTATTTTTGTGTGATTTTTCGTGTTGACCCATATAATCCATAAATAAAAATTTTACGTTCAATTTGATGTCTAAAATTTCATTATCACTTAATCGAACTTATGCTCATACTTTTATAAATACAATAATTAAAATGAGTAAAAATATTTTTTTTTATAAGAATTAGGTCACTATTTGATAAAATATAATAAAAAATAGCATTTTATTCTTATATACTACTTAAACAAATTAATCGTGTCAATTTCGTGTCATTCGTATTTGACACTAACCCAACCCATTTATTATTCATATTAATAAATCGTGACTTATACGGGTTCGTGTCGAGAAATAGTTAATCCTAAGTCATTAATTTTGTGTCGATTTCGAGTCGTGTTGTATTACAAATTGTCACTCCTAGTATTTTTATCATTTTTTAGGTACCACAACAATAATAAAAAACTTACAAATATAATAAAAATGACCACAAATGTTGTATTTAAAGGTATGATAAAAAAAAAAATCGATATTGTATTCAACTCCTATTTTTTAAATGGATCACGAATCATACGGGTCTTTGTTATTGTTAAAGCAGCACTTCTTATCAAAGAGATTAAAATTTGTTGACAGTAAGATTGTAAGGGCGACAATTTTCGACCCAACAGGACGAAATGATTCAAATTTGACACAAATTTTATGACACAAACTCGATTATAATTCGACATGAACTCAACAATGATCTGACACGCGAACACGAAATATAAATGAGTAATGTTTGGGTTCAACACGCCAAATCTGAAATTGACACAATCAACACGTTTATTTAAGAATATAAATTTTTTTTATTTTCTCGTTTGTATGGTAACACGAAATTAAAATATTTAACTAGTATTATATATATAAAATGTTAATTATTTGTAACTATTTATTAAGTACTGACATAATTATTATATAAAAATTATATTTTTACTCATTATTATTATTATGTTTATTAAATTAATTTTACTTTATAGGAAAAATATGAGCATAAATTTAATTAAGTGAAAATAAAATATTAGTGTTAAATTTTTAATTCAAAATTTATGCAGGTCAACACGAATACGAACACGACACGATTAGTTAAATGGTTTGAGTTAAGATTGACAAATATTCGACGTGAACTCGCAATGGCCCGACACGACTCGATTGCCAACCCTATAAAATTGGTTGATCGTATTTGTATAATTTAATTTTGAATGGTCCGACCGAGTGGTGAGTTTACCATATCTCCGGCCCCTACGGCCTTATGTTAGATGACCGTAATATTTTGTTACGTTCTACTTGTAATACGATGAATTGAATTATATGTCATTGCAAAAAAAATTAATGAGATGACTTTATAAGCTTGAGCCTACATAAAGAACATAACACTAATAGCTTAAAAGTTCAAATAATGGCAACCCCCAATAAAAAAAATAATAATAATAAACCACCCCAAAAAGAAATCACCCCCAAAAAATATAATAAAGCATCGTTCTATTGATCAGGCACCTGCATCTACATGTGACATACTGGTAATGCCATTACTGTTTGTAGCATACAAAGAAGAAGACAGACAGAAGACCACTTGGTGGTACAGTGGTAAACCGTATGTTGTGGTGATTAATTATTTTTTTATTAATAATTATAATTCAAATGGAATATTTTACAGACTTTTATAGTTACGCACAGCGATTAATACCTATTATCGTCCCCCCTCCTTTTTTCCAAAAGAAAAAAAGAAGAAGAAGACAGACAGAAGTAGCGCTGACTAATTATGTAACAGTGTAATGACTACTTGCCATAGACTGTGAACCATGCTGTGCACAACTTTAAAAGGGACCACAACCAACAAGAAGCTTCCTTCAAAGAGTTCCAACATAAACAAATTACTTGATAATCCAACCATATCTTTTTCAATTCTACACAGTCCTAACTCACGAGTGCTTTGTTCTCACCTCCCAAAGCCCCACTTCTTTTGATGTAGTAGTACTGTTTCGTCTTCTTCCTTGTCCCCTGTTACTCGGGTAGGACTATATTACTGTTTCATTCTTGAGGGGTGAGCTCAGAACTTGTTCCACAGTGTGAGCTAATGTTGTTGTTGAACAGTATCTTACACCATAGTTACCACTCCAAGCAGTCGATACTTATTTCCTTGTTCAGCAAAACTGTTACCTCTTCCAACTTCTTCCCCAGTCACTTTCTGAAGCCAAAGAACCATGTATCAAACATGTTGGTACCCACACTAAAAAACACCAACCTAACATCATCATATAAGAGATTCCACCAGAGAGTCTTGCAGAGAGAGTAGCCCCAACCCCAAATCAGCTAGAGTTATTTGGCTATCCCTTTCTACCTTACAACTATGGATCTCTCCAGCCCCAAGTACCTTGAAGCTCCACCCTTATTTACATCTCCCGGGGTAAAGACAAAATGCTAATATTTTTTCATGTGTGGTTATTTTCTTGCTTTCATTGTCTTAAATGGTTTATCTAATCCGATAGGTTTCCTGAAGTTTTTGGTTGTTTGTGATTTCAGGAAGCCTCATTAGAGAACAACGCTGGGTTCTATAGAACAAGCAGAGATAACCCATTTCTTGATCCAATCTGCAAGTTAAATCTCAAGGAGACCTCTGAGTTTGTTAAATCATTCCCAATGGCAAACAATGGCCTAGAAAGCAGAGGTTTTGTTGATGTTTCAGCTGAGAGGGGGGCAGAGGGAGTGAATTCAGTTACAAAGAGGAATGTGGAAGCTCCTTCCACACCTGGTAGACCCATTTTCAACTTCAGTGTAGGAAACAATCTCTCAAGAAAGTCTTTTCCTTCAAAGTGGGATGATGCAGAGAAGTGGCTTATTAGTGGCAGTTCTTGCCATGACTCCCCTGCTCATCATCATGGTTTTAAGCCATCAGATTTCTCAAAAATGGCCAAACATTGTATTGGGGTTAAGCCACAAGGAGGAGAGGTCTTTGCAGAAAAATCAAGGGTCACAGAGGAAAAGGTCTCAAAAGCAATTTCAGCCTTTCAAGTGCCTATATCTTTGGACCATCATAGCTCAGCCAGAACTTTCAATGAGTTCTCTGCCTCAGCACATGTACTTCTGAAAGGTGACAACCTTTCCCCACCTTGACCCCTTGGTCTCGCCTCCTTTATTCTTCAACAATGATGTACCCTTTATTTTTATTTTTTTATTTTTGTCTTCTAAAAGTCTTCCATAACTTTTACTTTGGCCCAACTATTTGATCATGGTCCTTACTTGGATAACAAAAAACCTAGCTAGTTGGTTCTCCATGCTACAGAACAATGCTAAGTATCTCCTTTAAGATAGCAAGATTGTCTAAGTCATACAAAAAGAAAGCCATGATTGAGGCTATGGTACTAACTATGCATAGGACTACAAAGATGGAATGACAGGATGTATTCCGAGGAAATGCTATTAATTTTAGGAGGACTATAATAAGGAGGACTGACAGACCCGGTCACCATCTACTACCAGGGCAAGTTGCTTGATATTGGTTCAAATCCAATTCGTGAGATGGCAGTGATCTGCTGGTCATGGCCATAATGTGCTCTTTTCCTTGGATTCATTGGAATCTTCTTTTTCAATTCTTATTTGATTTCTACATACCCACGTTGAATTTACAATTATTTGGGTGGTATAGATCAAGAAACCTTTGTACATCATGACATGCAGATAAATTCACAAATGAGGTAGACCCTATTTTTCCCAAATTTAGATGCTCAGAGCCAATGAAAGAGGGGTTTCTATTTGGAAAATCAGCAGTTGAATCCATGAAAGAGGCAGCCGCAGAGGTGGTCCATGAGGTTAAACACAGAGACATTGGGACAGAGATGACACCTCTGGGCAGTTCTACTACTTCAAGATGCCCTACTCCATTCAAAAGCTCATCACCGGCCCGCCACAACACTCCTGCCGATAGGTCAGGTCCATTGGCCTTAATGAACTCCAGCACCATTGACATTGCAGAGTTGCAGGGGTGCCATTTAGCCAAGCTAAATCTTGGGACACAATTTGATTCTATTACCTCAAATTGGAGCTCGAGGGAAGAGGAGGAAGAGGACGTGTCGAAAAGCTTGAGACACTTTGAGATGAGCAATGAGTGCAGGAGAAGTGTTTCAGAGTCTAGAACTCTTGCATGGGAAGAAGAGGAGAAGACCAAGTGCTGCCTAAGGTATATCTGGGACTTGCAATGCCCCACATATTTCATGTAATTGTTTCTGAACGGAATTGGGTACTAATTGTGATCAGAATTGCAGGTACCAGAGAGAAGAAGCAAAAATTCAAGCTTGGGTGAACCTCCAAAGTGCTAAAGCAGAAGCTCAGTCAAGAAAGCTTGAGGTATTTTTTATCATCCTCATTTTTTGTAGCTTAGATTATGCAGTTTTGGAAATGATAAGCCTAGGAACCATGTTTAAAGAAATGAATATACAATGAAAAGTAGTAGGAGATAAATTAAGAGGGCATAGCCGTCGATGGTTTAGAGATGTTTATAGAACACCTAATCCTGCAGCACATGAAGAGTGATTTGATACATATTGACGGCAATGCGAAATCAACATAAACTTAAATTTAACTCTAAAATAAGATTATAGTAAACAAAAAAGTGATGACTTGTGTTGGTCATTGATGGAATACATGGAAAAATAATATTCCTATAGCTGACTCTTAACTATTTGGGTTAAATGTTTTGTTGAATTGAGTCCAGAAAGATGTGCAGTCCAGTATGCAAATTTGGTCTTTTTCCCGCCACTGCGCAACCTTACCCACAGGCAAAGAGGCTTTTTTCCTTTAAAAAAATGGCGTACACAGTGCATGAGGTTCTGCTATTGTGGGGTCTGGGGAGGATTAAACGTAAGCAGCTTTACTCCCACAAGTAGGGAGGTTGTTTTGTGATTCAAACCTGTAAACTCCAGGTCACAATGAAGCAATCTTACCGTTATGCCAAGACCTGCCCTCAATTTTTTCCTTTACATATTCTTAAATGTTTGGAGTAGTTCTCTTGTCTAATTAGTAGTGCATGCATTTGCATGTGCTAAGCATATTAATTAGATTTTCTAATATAAAGTATGTGGGTTGGGTGATGATTGTAATTTGTAACCAATATGCATAAGATAAGAGGCCAGTAGTTGAAGCCCAGTTTTGGCACTATATAAGAAGAAAGATGAATGAATACCCATATAAGAATTCGTTTGGTTGAATAAATCTGTCAAGTGGTGACTTTATTTGGAAGGCTTTGTCGGACTTATTGTTGGCTTCATCCTCATCGAGCCACCCGCTGCTCTCAGACACTCTTCCCCTTTGTTTTTCTTTGGTGGTGGTCCAGTCTCTTTTTGAGTGTCTTCCTCCACCAAGTGTACCTATTAGAATATGCTTTGCAGCCTTGAAAAAGAAAAAGAAAGCAATAGAATTACGGAAAACACTTCTCTACCAAAGTTTTTACTTTTCAGTACTATACTGAAAAAATATAAAGAAAAAAAACTCCAAAAGTTAATATATTTTATCCTAAGAAGTTATAAGTTTCACCCAGAAAGTTGTAAGTGAACCCAAATAGTGTATGCACTCTAAAAATTGTATACATAACCAAGAAAGTGGTATGTGGTATCGTACCAAAATTTTTTATGTCTCGTATTAAAACCCTAGAAGTATATAAGTACAGCCCCAAAAGAATGCAAGGAAGTCAACAAAGTCCATATTTTTATAGTTCCATTCATGACAGTTTTGTTGTAAGTTGTAATAAACCCATGTGAAGGTGTAGCTCCATTGAACAGCATCCTGGGAAATTGGAACACTTGCGTGAGCTGGAGGATCTCTATCCAATGCTTGAACTTTGAATTGTGAATCCTAAACAAAGCAACTATTTCTAATAGTGTATGCAGAATTGTATTATTTATATTCCCTGTTGGCTCTACAGTTCACACTTATTTCTATGACAAAAGACCTAAAAGATAATTCTTAAGAAACAATCACTAGTTTTCAAAATTCATATAAATATTTTATCACTTGCTCGATACACATCCTAGTATCGGACGTATATGATCAAGTAAGCGACATATATTCTATTTGATATGTATAAATAGTGTACTCAGTGCACGAGACTACCGCAATTGCGGAGTTTGGAGAGGGTTAGATGTACGCAGCCTTACTCCTGCAAATAGAGAGATTGTTTTTGCCACTCAAAACTCATTACCTCCAAGTCACAATAGAACAATCTATTTGATACACATACTTCGACCTAAATAGAGTACCATGCTTCATAGGTGACCATGTCTCTCCCCTATGCTGAAGTTCAAACAAAAAAGTGGACTTAAACTTGTTATATGGCTGATAGTCATATCAGACTATTATCTTATAAGGGTGTTATTGAATTCTGTCTTTAGAATTTTGAGGACACTACTTCATGACTACATATCTTATGGTTCATTAGAATATTTACATGTGAATCTTTTTTATTGATATAGTGTGTTGTGTAACAAATGCTTTTACAGGTGAAGATTCAAAAGATGAGGTCCAATTTGGAAGAGAAGTTGATGAAGAGGATGGCAAATGTTCATAGAAAAGCTGAGGAATCGAGAGCAACAGCCCAGCTTCAACACACTGAGCAAATCCATAGGGCCTCCGAACAGCCGCAGAAGATGATGAATCGACAAAACTCACATTTCTCTGGGTACGTATCCTGTGGTTGCTTCCCCTGCAACAACCATCACCTCTAAATAAGGGAAAAGGACGAAATTCTGCATTGTGTATCTCAAGTCTTTCAAGGAATACACAAGAGTCCATCCATTTGCTTTTACTGCTAGATGTCCATAGAGAGGCTCAGTGGAAAATTTGAGTATGTTGAAGATTATATCATGAACAAGTGCTCTTCCTCTGCCATTCTTTTATGATAGAGATTTCTATCTTGATATGGGGGAAGTGATTCTGTTGTCAAAGATTTGTAGCAGGAATGATGTTGCTCTTATCTAGATTTCTTTTAATCTGATTAATTGGGGTAATATATGAGTACGGAAATCTTTATGTTCTGGACTCTCTTGATCAGTGGCATATGTAGTACTGTGCCTGAGATTTTACCCTCCAAACCCTTTGGCCTATATTTCTAAGAGCTCTTGGTTACATTTCCTTCCACTGAATGTACACATCTAGAGAGAGAAAGAGAGAGAGAGAGAGAGACCAATACATGTCTGAAAAATTTACAGAAAATACAAGCTTAGCAAGGTGAACAAATTTACTGAAAACTTGACACCTCCACTCAGGGAACGTTCGAAACATTTTCGTTTTTAAGGAAATTGAAACGAATCAATAATATAATCAAAATTTTAATCATTTGAGGTGTTTCATAATGTTTCGAGCTGTTTTGTAATATTTCAATATATTTGTACAATTGTATCGGAATGTTTCAAGATATTTCAATATATTTTGATTAATGTTTTGAAAAAATAATTCTTATTTTTTTATTTTTTTCATTTTATTTTTAAAACATGTTGAAACATTTTCGTTTTTTTATATGACCGAAACAATGGATTGAAATATCATGGAGCTAGACAATATTTTCTATGAATAAAAAGTAGAATAACTTTTGCCAATAGATTCTCAGTTTAGCTTGAGACGGCCAAAAGCTACTCTGTCAATATAGATTTTGTTGTATTGTCACTCCAAAAAGACTCTTCATCAGAAGTCTTTCCAGATTGAAGAACTGCATTTTTTCCTATTTGAATGTTAGAACCAACTCACCCCATCAGAGTTTGACAAATGCCTAAACCACTCAAGCCATGTGCTGGAAAAAGAGATGCTCTCAAAACAAGATAGATATGTTGATTCCTGACTAGAGTTTTAGCAAGGACCCTCACATTGTTTCTCCTTATGCAGAAGGTAAAAGCTTACACAAAACTTGCAGGCTCATGCAGACAGAGACATCTACAGTGCTGAACCAGCTTTGTACTGTGTTTATGGGTCTCCTTTTCATAAAGGCTGCACTGCCATCAAATCCTGGTAAAGATATGGGTGGTGGTGTCTTGGATGGTGGATTGACATATGCATGCATCAAATAGGCCAACCAATTTCTTTTGGGCTTGATTTTTTTTTTCTTTCTGGTGTAATTAAATTAGGATGAGGCAACAGGGTCAATGAAATTCCCATTTCTGTTTTAGAGATTGGACTGAGAGTCTCCTAATTATCCATATGATCAAGTGATATTAGTATAGTACATTGGGTACGACTTTTTTTATTACAATTATCGTGAAGCTGTGATATCTTCATTAAAAAAAAAAACATAGCGAAAACAGTTTTATGTTAGGTGTCTTATATTCAAAAGTTTGACGAATTTGGAAGGATATTTTTCTTCTAAAATTTGTCTAAAATATTTGAAATATATATAATGGGAGGGGGAGGGGTAAATATTTGAAATAACAGTAATGTTTTTCTTATCAATTTTTGCTCATGAAATGATATGATATGCCCAATATGATTAGTAATGTGTAAAACAGTCGATCTACTCGGCTCAGCTCGTTTTTTAAATAAGTTAAGTTTAAACAATTTTTTAAACTTATTTAGAGAAACGAACACGACAGATTCTGCTCGATTATCAATCCCAGTTTCAAACAACGGGTGAATAGTGTTGAAAAATTGGGCTGGTCGTAGTAAGACCATCTGGATTGGATTGGGTGGGTCAATATTTAGGCCGAAACAATCATGGGCTAAGTTTCTTTTGGAAACTGGGCCCATCTCGAGCAGTTCAGTGTGGCCATGTGGATTGGGTTGTCCAGGTTCAAATTTGGTGCAAATAGTCATGGGCTAAATATTGACCTCACAAAGTCGGGCTGTATTCACTGAGAACCGATCCATTTTACTGCCCGAATGACCGCCCCCCTTCTCCATTGGATTGCTGTCTTGCTGTGCAAGCAGGGCTTAAGAAAGCATCTCATAGAGAGCGAAAGAAGAGAAAGAGAAAGAGAAAGAGAGACAGAGACAGAGACAGAGAAGAAGAAGAGAAAAAGGAGTTGTAGCAGTAAAGCATCTCAGGTAGGTTAGATTTACTAATTCATCACACGCTTTGCTTTATGATTTGTTCTTAGGTCACAAATCGATCTGCGAAATTGCAAGAACATTAATTGGTATTATCAACTACACATTTCCTTCCGTTTCCTGATGTGTACTGCATGATTTGCTTCAGATCTTCTAAGCTTTTACTAACCGAATCGAGAATGTTTCTCACAAGGTGAGTGCACTTGACTAAAAAACCAGGGTTTTTTTTTACTCTGTCACGGCCTTGGATTGCTGCATAGTTTATTCCGATGTCTGTTGCTATCTCTAAACTGTTTCTTTGGGATTTTGTGATTGAAGGACCGAGTACGATAGAGGTGTCAACACATTCTCTCCGGAAGGCCGATTATTTCAGGTTGAATATGCCATTGAGGCTATCAAGGTAATCTCTACTGGCACTTTCTATGTATATTTGTTTCTGTATTGTCTTGATTTGAATGGTTAAAAGGGAGGATAGTTGCTGGTTTTGTTATTGTAATTATTGCAGCTTGGCTCGACTGCAATTGGGATAAAAACTAAGGAAGGAGTCGTTCTTGCAGTTGAAAAGCGTATTACGTCACCACTTCTGGTCTGTTTGCTTTCTTTTTTTCCTTTTGGAACTTGTTACTCTGTATGATGTCTTCATTTTATGGTTAATATGGTTTTTAACATAAGATACTAGCCCCAAAATTGCAATACATGGTCTACTTGGTGCTGATATTTTCTATAATGTTTTGATTGACTTAAATATTTGAAGTTCAAAAGTACTGCATGGTTATCTATGACATACTAATCCAGAAAACTAAGTTTTACAATGGTTTTCATAAGTCCAGTTGCTGAAGTTGGCCTTTTTCAGGGTATCATACGTATTGGTTATGAATATTTTATGGGTCATCAATTTTTCCACAAATAATTTAAGTTAAAGCAAGGCTGAAATCTGAATTGGAAATGGCAAAGCTATGATGTAATACTTTATCTTATAAGTAATTATTTAATGACTAAGTTACAGTATGATCAGTATTATGGCTATAAGGTTTTTAATAACTTCATCATGGTAATATAGAGCTCTGTTGGAGAAGGTGACAATATGAAAATGGTCATGCCATAGTATTAGATAGAGGATTTTGTATCATAAGCGAAGACGTTCTGTGCTGTTGCTTCTGATTATCCATGTTTCTACCGTGTCAGTGTCTTTGCCTTGCTATATTTAGCTTTTCTTTATTGGTTGCTGGGTGAAAAAGTGAGCTTTGTTTTTATATTCTTAATGTTGAAATTAAGAACTGCCACATCTCATACATCTTTTTATTTTGGGACTCATGTAGGAGCCCAGCAGTGTGGAGAAAATTATGGAAATTGATGAGCATATTGGGTGTGCAATGAGTGGATTAATAGCTGATGCCCGTACACTAGTTGAACATGCACGAGTTGAAACTCAGGTACCCTTCACTATAATAATTATCCTTTTTTTTTTCAAGTATTAGTGTGATATTGGACTATGCTGATTGTCAACTTTCATGTTCTTAGAATCATAGGTTCTCATACGGTGAGCCCATGACTGTTGAGTCCACGACACAAGCTCTGTGTGATTTGGCCCTGCGATTTGGCGAGGGGGATGAAGAGTCTATGGTTAGCTTCTTCTCTATATGAAGCTAGAAGTTCCTTTCTGTTCCTTGTCCACTATTGATTAAAACTATTCATGCGCCATGTGTTTTTTTTTTATTTCTTTTGGTGTCAAACTATTAAGCTCCTGCATCATTTCCTAGCTTTATGTTGTGTCTATTGCCGTCATTTGATTTTGAGATTCATTTGGCTGGAATATTATTGACAGGAGGACACCATGGTATGCCATCCTTGCTTTTTCTTCTTTTTCTATCTAACCAAGTCTATCAACTGATTACTTAGCCCACACTTACTTCTAATACCTTGAGCTGCTGGGTTGAACCAAATTTCATTTTAGAGGCTGTGTTCAATTTGGATGTTAATGAGGATTGAACCTGAATACGCGGGTAGATCTTCAGTTTCTTCCTTATAAGCACAATATCATGAAGGGGGCACAAGGTTTCCAAAATCTGCCTATCTTAAATCTTTTTAACGCTAGCATTTGTGTGAGAGCTGAAGGTTGGACCTTGTAGAATTACTTTAGGGTTGGCTTGGGTTTTCAGCTTTTTGACTGCAATAGTTTTGTTGTCAGCCTTCAGAATTTGCTATTGGAGCCAACTGGGCAGCAAAGGAGCTGAAAATAGTAATTTTGGCTGTTCAAGCTTGGCTCGGTAGAATGTGAAACAATCATAAACTGGAGAAAACTTTAATTAGCTGAACTTGAGCTGGTTCATAGCCGTAGCCAATCTTGTTGTGTAACCTACGTAGAGTGTTGTATGCGGCGTGGAGTGTGCAAATTCAACATTTGACATATTTTAAGCAAAATGTCAAATGTTGGATTAGCTGAACTTGTAGAATGTGAAACAATCATAACCCTTGTAAAACTATAATTAGCTGAACTTGAGCTGGTTCAGAGCGCTAGCCAATCTTGTTGTGTAACCTATATTGAGTGTTCTATGTGGCGTGGAGTGTGCAAATCCAACATTGACATTATTTAAGCAAAACGGGTGTCCTCAAACGTGAACCCAAAACCTTGAAGTTCTTGACCCAAGCGTTTTACTATCGCACTAGGAAATGACTTCTGGCTTATTCTATATAAAATTTGAAAATGTGAACTTGATGATTGCAGTTTGTGATCAGCAATAGCATCACAATTCTTGCATAGATAGATATAGAAACAAAACTGATAAGTTTGCACTACAAGTCTAACTGTGCGGTTTCTATTTGTTCATGAGCAGTTTAGTTGATCTGGAGTTCTAAAAAGCCATAATGTGAGACAGCATCACGTGTTATATACTGTTTTTATGTGTGATCTATGATTGTCGGAATCGGAATGTGCTTCTTGTCAAGGAATATGTTAGCTCACATGTCATTAATGCTTTGAACTGCCATATACAAGCCTAGAAGGTTAGTTTAGATTAGAATATCAAATAACACCCACAGAAAAAAGAAAGAAGTAAGAAAAATTGACATTGATTAGTCAATTGTGTCTCCGTCAAAAGTCAAAACCCAATTTATGTTGGAGTTGGCCTCATAAAGAATCTGGGAGGTGCAAATGAAGTACACCCTTGTCTTGCCAAAGCAATTGACACTCCCATCTTTGTATTATATTATGCTGCTATATTTAATTTGCAACCATCACCTAAAAGTATAGGGAATTCATGTCTTGTTGCTGGCATCTTTCTCGACCTGAGTCATACAGCCTAAGGCACACTGTCTACAACATCACTGAGCTTGATGTGGGAAATTGTTTACACATCTTTCTATCAAGTTCTACACTTTCTGCGGTCACAGTTTGGATACCATGTTTATTGGCTTTTCTAACTTCTGACACCTTTGTTTTTGTGCAGTCCCGACCTTTTGGGGTATCTCTTCTCATTGCTGGCCATGATGAGAATGGCCCCAGCTTGTAAGTACTGATTTGCCATAGGATTTTTATTTTCCCGTCATCTGAAAATTGGTTTGGTAGAGCAACCTGTGACAGGTTTATTAGCATTTAACTTATTACTCCCACTGTTTCCTCTCTTTTCTTGTCTATTTTCCTTTCAATTTGACATATGCGTCAATTTGGTAAAAAAGGGCCCAAGAGGTGTTAAATGTGAAGATGCATAAGTTAATTCGTCTTTGTTTAGTTTGTTTATTTTTCTATGTACAAATGTGTTGAATAAAGTGTCTCTGAAGCATCCATAATATGTGAAACTGCCATTGATCTTTATCATGATTGCTATAACCAACCTCTATGAGATGATAAAAGTACATGCTTGCTTGGATAATACAGGTTGCATATCCTTTGGGTACTGAATTTTTTGTGCACCCTAAATACTTATATTGAGACGAAATGAGATTCAGTAACTGGCACCATTACGAAGGATCATTTATCTCTGATCCCAAATTGATATAGGACAAGTGGGGAAACACTTTTGTAGGAGTCAATACTCCTAATTGGTTCTAGGCAAAGGTAGAATTGGACCTATTTCAGACATTGACTCTAAAAGGACAAACTTCTGATACGCAGATACTATACGGATCCATCTGGCACATTCTGGCAGTGCAATGCGAAAGCTATCGGTTCCGGTTCTGAAGGCGCTGACAGCTCTTTGCAGGAGCAATATAACAAGGTATATATGTGATTTTCAGTCTCTTGAAGAAAGATGATGAGCGGCTTTGTTGTGCTGAATTTGCCATGTTGTCTGTTTCTCTATCTCTGCGGTTTGCTTGTATAAATGTTAATCAGGAAAACAAACTTTTGTCTGGTTCTAATCAACCATTTCCGTTATGCTGTCGACGCCTCGATGCATAAACAGTTTTAGATTTTATTGTACCTACCAAAGATGGTCCATGCCAAGATGGTGAACTTTTGTATTTCTTGCCCACTCGCATACATGTAATTTTGGAAAGGCTTTTCTAGATTTGTGTTGTCTGGTTACTGATTCCATTTGGTTGTTTGTTTGCAGGACCTAACACTTGCAGAAGCTGAAACAATAGCTCTTTCCATCCTTAAGCAAGTTATGGAAGAAAAGGTAAGCTTCTCTACATTGCAATCTACATTTGAGTTTGTGCGCTGTCCTTGCTGTTTAGTTGCGTTTTCTCAATGGTGCTTTACTCTATTATTTAATGATCTCAGGTGACCCCCAATAATGTTGATATTGCAAAGGTCTGTAAGACTTATCATCTGTATACCCCTTCCGAGGTGGAGGCTGTCATAAGTCGCCTATAAAAGAGAGGACTCCATCAGAAAGTTCTTTTTCTTGATTTGGATTCCCATTATTCCTTTGTCTGCATACATTTTGTACTGGTTGCTGAGATTATATTTTATTTCAACCAGGAGGATGTTTGTGAATGACTTAATCATGTCACTAACTCCAGTTACATGGTTCCAAGAATTCTCTTACATGTATGAACACGTTTAACACTTTCAGTTAGATCGTTTGAGCTGTTTGACAACCATACCACCTGTGGGATTGATTTTGTATGTTGGGTAAGCAGAAAATTGCTCACATTCATGTTGGGGGGAAACATCTTTGAATCCATTGCATAAAGAAACAGGAATGGGATGGAAAATCTGAAAAGTAATGATATCAAATTTAGTCACCATTTGAATTTTTTATATTTGTATGTGAATTCTTACGCAAGTCTTGGTTCAAAATGTCGATTCAGTTCTGTGGTGTGTTGATTATAATGGAGGGTGTTTATCAATGTATATTAATATCAATGTGTATTAATATATCTGTTAATGAATTATATTTAAACCCTCTAAAATTTGTAAATATACAATACTTAGACCCCTCAAATTTAAAACATTATTTTTTAACCATTATATATAAAATATCAAATATTTTAAATTTTATAACTAAAATTAATGTTCTATTGTATCATTTATTGAAATAAAATAAAAAATAAAAATTTATTTTTTCTCAAAAAATCGTAATTAGTATATAATTATACTATCTATTAAAATAAAACTAAAAAATGAAATAAAGAGTCTAAATCATTCATAATAGTAAATAAATTTTACAACCAAAATTCATATTTTATTATATCATTTATTAAAAATAAAAATCTAATTTGTTTCTAATAGATAATATAATTGTATACTTATTATGATTTTTTTTAAGAAAAAATTAAATTTTATTTCAATAAATGTCATAATAGATCATGAATTTTGATTATAAAATTTAAAATATTTGATATTTTATATTTGATTGAATTATTTTTTATCTAAGTATAACATTTTATACTTGAGGGACCTAAGTATTGCTCATTAACAAACTTCAAAAAGTTTGAGTATAATTTACTAACAAACATTGACGACAAGAGTTTAAGTGTTACGCGTGTACAAACCTCAAAAAAATTTGAGTGATTAAGTAACAACCCTCAAGAAATTTGGGTGTAATTCTCCCAAAAAAAAAATTTGTTCAATGGTCAAAGTTGTTTGGGTCAGTTTACGCGTAACTTGATTAATTTCTTTCTCGGTCTGATCAAAAACAAGTCATTCACAGCGGGACAAGACATTTGACCAAACTGGAGAAGAGATTAGTCGAGGCATACGTAAACTAACCTAAACACCCCTAACCATGACCACAAATAAAGTGGCACAACTTTGATGTGAGTTTAAACAAATGAAACCCCACGACTATGAACTAAACACCCAAAGCAGGAGATCGAAGTCCTGATCTATTGAACTTCGCATGCTCTTAAGGTCCAAAGATATGAAGTGCAGTGAGGATAGCAAAAATCTTGGGCAGACAACAGTTTCAGATCCTCCACCTCTTGCACAATGCAGTATACACTCCATCAATGAATAAACTGACATATCGTTGGACCTAAGAAAGGCGTAAGAGACATACACAAACAGTTATGACTACACCTTATTAAAACTCTTAGCAGTGCTCGGATATAATGTGAATGGCACGGGTCCCTCGGCCACAAAATTCATCCATAAAACTCTTGTGGATCCCTCAGCCACGAAATTCATCCATAAAACTCTTGTGGAAATCTGTCAAGCGAGATACAATGGCTGGAATCTTATCCTCTTGAGGCAATATTGTGCACCTAAAATGCCAAGTCCCAGGGACCTTTCATAGAACACCAAATCACAACCATTATTGATCAGCAAAAAAAAGAGGGAAAAAAATACAGAGGAGAAGGCTTCATCAGTCTAGGTGAAGCATGCTGCGCTATTTAACAGATAAATATGAGCATTTTGAATAGTTACAACAGGTATTAACTTCCAGGCTAGAGCCACTTATTATTTGGTAATCCATCCAGGATGCCTGAAATATTGCTATCCTCCAATCAGATGACAATATCAAACTATTTCTTTTAGAAATCATTGAGTTATAGTGAAACCCTTCAAAAGGTCGGATTCTTTTGGGTTTGTGATCATTTGTTTTTTTGATATTTCAACAAAACTAGTTCCAGTTGGAATCAGCAGATCGCCTTGTTGAGCTGATAATATGATGCAAACATGGAGTTTATTAGGCAACGTCAACAATAAAACTCACCTGGCCAAAGCCAGACCCAGGAACCACAACAATTCCAGTGGCATTAAGGAGGCGGCGAGCATAGAATGCATCTGGCGCCATTTTTGCTGCTTCTGCTGCTTTTATTGCATTCTGGGGGAGTTGTATACGTGGAAAAAGATACATCGCTCCTTCTGCTTTATTGCATGTTACACCTTCTAAACTATTGAACGCGTCTTCAAGTGTCTGTATTATAGAAGGCATAATAAAGAAAGCGTATTTGAAAAAACAAAGAGGACAATAAATATTACGAAGATTAATCTGAAAGGTAACATGTCAAACTTGTCTGAGAAATGTAGTTGCAATTGCCACTACAAGAAATCATTGGTTCATTACAAGGAAAACATAAATTGTTTCGAGAGTTGATGGAATTTCCTTAAAGACAATTAGACAAGTTTGTGCCACCTTAAATGAACCACCACTTGAAATCACTCCAACTCTCCATCCTCTCTCTCAAAAAGTATAAAGAACTCAATGCAATATTAGGTGTCTCTATTTACTTAATTTTGGTCCTTTCGGAACACATTACAACATTTGTAGTTTCGTTCAATCAATTTTCCTGTAAAAAAGTTCTTTTCACTATTAAATACCAAGTTGTCAATTTTTTCTACACATTGGATAAGATTTTGATTTTTCCAAACCTTTGCACGCCTCGCTAGGGATGAGAGGATTCCATCTTTCTCTGCAAAATAGGACTCATAGGATTCTTCTCCAACCTACATGCATGCGTAAAAGTTAAATGTACTGCACGGTTGGATGAAATATAGTGTTATAAATAGTTTATATCATACCTAAAATTATACTAAAGAGTTCCCTATGCTGTTAGGGAATTTCAGAGCAAATTAATAATACCCAACAACAGCTTAATTTCGTGCTCCAAGGTCAGATCACCACAACTAAACTTGTAGGATAATATGCTCAACATATGTTATTAAGTGGCCAGTCATTGTAAAAGTAATTCTAGCTGAGTAACATTGACCTTCAAGACAAAACTGGTAATCAGACAAGCTCAAGCTTACAAGAATGTACGACATGTTAAGAGTGAAAGATTTTGAATCAGAACTCTTATACCCACCAGAAATCCTTACCTAAGCCCAACTTAACCAAATTTACGTCTGTCTAACTCTAACTAGAAGAAATGTCATCCAAAGAGGGAAAAATCAACCTTTGGAGGATTCATTACAAGGCTTGCAAGAATTTGACCAGAGATATTAGAACAAAGATTTACGGAAGCCACTTTGTAGATTTGTTCCATAATCTCCGGACTAAAACCGGTGACCTCCATGTAACCTCCTCTTTTTCCACACTCCCCATAATAACCTGAAGTCCTCAAACAACAAAACCTCGTCAACTTAAACTCGACAATTTCACGAATTGCATCATTTACAAATATGATTGCAACATACCTTTAGAAACTGACTGAAAAGACACCAAAGAGATGTCTTTCTCGCCATACCCCATAGACCGGGAAATTTTCTTAAATGAGTGAAATTCCTTGTGGGAGACATAAACATTTTCCTGATATACCTGCACAATTTTTCCAAACATTGTCAAAAGGCCATTATAGTTGATAATTTGATTCAACTAAGCACACTCAAAGCATAGTGTTTGCTGAATTTTCTTACAAATAACAAAGTCAAAACCCAACAAAGTCAACCTCAATTTAGTTTCCTTAGCAAAGATACTCAAATCTCCAATTGTACCCTCAAGTATCTAGTAAAAATGAGGCTTTGCAACAGTCAACATACCTCATCTGCCAAAAGAACAAGACCTTCTATCTTGCAGAATTCAACAATTTCCCGCAGGTTGGCCTCAGCAAGAACCTGCAGGTATCCATGTCAAGATAATCAAATGATAAAACACGATCCTAACCGATAATTGAACACCCAGATCCCATCCAAGCAGCCTCCCCCAATGAAACATGTCATTTTCCACTTTAATCAAATTTCTAAAATCTGGTAATTGTTTACCTGCCCTGTTGGGTTGCCTGGATTTATTACAACCAAGGCCCTAACAGTGATGCCCTTGGACTGAGCAGCTTCCAACTGCTTTTTGAGCTCAGAAATCTCCAATCCCCAACCTGTTTCTTCATCAAGATAGTAAGGAACCTGGAAAAACAACTTTGAATTTAATCATCAAATATTTTATTACTGCATAAAACCACCCGAAAGTAAATGAAGCTTTTCCCAAATGAATCTAGTCAGCTTAGCAGTTGAACATAGCTAACCAGCCATCGCAACACTAAATATTACTCTTATATTAAATATAACACACCAAAGTGCCACCATGGAGGGTGATTGAAGCTGAGTACAGAGGGTACTGAGGAATGGGACAAAGGATTCCATCCTTTTCTGATCTTATAAGTAACTGCATCATCATATGGACCTGATAACAGAATAAACAAAATCGAGTCCTTGCTTAAGATTTGAATTTCATTAGTTTCTGAAGTTTGTAGACATAATACAAACAAGGCCGACGAGGGGAAATTCAAATTTACTGCTGGGCTTGCACCATCAGTCAAGAAAATGTCATTGGGATCTGCAGAAAAACCATCACGAGCTTCAATACCAGCAGCAATGGCATCACGTAATCCCTTGATACCCTGATGTGAAGAAACAAAATATAAATCATAAGGAACAAGTGCTTAGTAATGTATCAATTGAATCGTTTAAAAGCGAAAAAGAGAGAGCACCCTGCCTGACTATGACTATATGCACCAGTTGCTCTTCCAGGAATTTGATCCAGGATCTGCCAAGCACGCTCTATAGCATCGGAACTGTGAAATTCATAAGGAGAAGAGAAAAACAGTAGTTGGCAATGAACAGAAATCCAAAGATAATTTCATCATGCCACATCAAAGATTTTGTAACGCAAAGATGACCCGTCATGAGATGGCTTTCTCTTTGATTTGATTGGCTCCATTTATGACTTTTACATGCAAAGTTTTGAGCCAAAATATCACCAGAAATATGACAACTAAAACGAGATGAACTAACTGTAATCTTAGCAAATAAAACAGAATTCCAAAGACCTTCTTGGGGTGGAGTGGTGGGGTGTTAAAGTCAAGATTTGAATAAGAAACTCATCAGCAGATGTTCAGTTCAAACAGAATTTGTGTAGGAATTCAACGTCAAAAATGCTCCAGAAATGTTAATCATTCTTTGGAACTTGATCTTCACAACAGGTAAAAATTTGAAATTACAAAGTATTAGACAGAAACTTGCTGTAATTCATAGCTTGCTATATAATAGACATTAAATTCTTCCACACATTCTTAATGGTAGCACCAAACCAAAAGTAATAATGTCTCTCCAAGTTGTTTATAAATCTAATGGTTCCTCAAACTCATAAACTGCACCCATGTCTCCTCAGAAATTTAGAACTACTCCATATACAGATATATATAAATCTTTCAAACCTGAATAAGCCCTGAGTTTCACTTCTGTCTAAAATGGTTGGATGGTCACATAGAGCGAGAACCTAACAAAAAATTTCCTATATAAGGAGCTGAAAGAACATTATCGCACTTAAATAGAACGAAGTGACACCACACAAACCTCTCTGAAGAAAGTTATTGGCTCCTGACCAAGAGATTGCGGATTTCCAATATTGCAGTAAAGTATCTGTCACATAAAAAGGGGAAATAAGTACAGAAACGGAATGCCAGACTTGGACAGTTGTTCTCACGAGTCAATTGTTTTGCCTTATTTTAAGACAACACGATATAAAAATGCATTCCAAGTACGCATTTAAAATGCTAAAATTTGAACTCACAAGAATGAAAAAGAAGAGTACCTCATCAAAAGGATGAGAACCTGGATTCTCCTTTAATTCTTGTTGTAATTGCTGCAAGAACAAAACATTTCAAAGGACTATCCAAAAAAGATGAATAAATTGCAAACATTGTTTGGAACAAATCCAGTATATTCAAATAGTTATTGCATTCACCAATAATTTTTTTACTGAGTTAAATTTTCCAGAAGTGGTTCTCTGTGGATGACCGAGTGCAACTCCTTAAATAGGAATCATAATTCGAAACTACTTGTCCATACAACTGCTGATGAACTTAACTATATTACCTGGGCCAGGGTAACAATCTCACCACGAACCGCATACTCACATTCCAAGACCTGGCAGAAAGGAAAATTAAGTAGTAAGATGTTGAAAATTAGAGTACTCATTCAAGAATAGAACCTGATAAGAGGAAATTTCAAACATCATTGAACCCTTCCCTGTTTGTGAGTCAAACTTTAGAAAATTCAAATAGGGAACGTTGCCAGTAATTAGCCTAAACTTATCTTTGCCTATTACAAATCACATAGAAGAAGTCATTTTCCTAGGCCAAAACAACTAAGGGATCAAGCATATGAATTCTACCAAGTTCTCAATGCAGTACGTGAATAAGCAACATTTGTCAATAGATACTCAATTGATCTTTTTGAGGTAACCAAAGACATCCTTCGAGGCCAGAGGGTCATCTAGATTCTCCAGGAGTCTTCGAGACTTGAAAGATTTATAGCAAGGAAATTTTGCTAGAAAAAAAGAGGAAAGACTTTGCCGAACTACACTCCTTTTTCAGCCCTTTTTGTTTCAGAATACTATGATTTGGGGAGGGGAGGGTGTAACAATCCGTTAAGAAGTGTAACCCCTCGGTCAGGAAAGAATCAGAACTGGAGAATCGATTAGATTCGGAAGTGACCCTGGACAATGAAAACATTCGGAAGGTTAGCATCACATATAAATTATAACGCTCAAGTGATAACACGAGTTGGGAGGCAGTCTCGGCGTGGATGACCGAGGATTAATCAAGATGTTCGTAAAATGGCATAGAGACCATTGGATACCCAGAAGACAACTAAAACAATAATGGATATACATGATCAAGCACAGCGTAGAGTAATTAAATTGAATTGAATTGAATTTGAGCCACCGCCTCTACAAATTGTGAGTGCGCAAATAAACCAGTCAAGGGCAATATAATACCCAAGCCTTTTGGCATATAATCGATATAACAGTGAAACGAAAGCGCCAAATCAGAAAACTAATCATCGCAAAATCAAAGCAATATTACCTTGGGATTGATGGTTTCAAGAGTGACAGGATTGGGAGCCATTGAATCAGAGGACGACGGAGGAGGAAGGAGATGAGAAGAAACGAGGAAGATGAGATTGATGACACGAGGTAGAAGAGGCGGAAGCAGTTGCAGTAAAAGACGAAGTTCTCTGTCTCTGGACGAGATTTCTGGCTTTGTCGGCTACGAATCTCCGCATTGTAACGTAACCGTTTGTTCGACACTTGCTTTCTGAATTCTGACTCTAATGAAAAGGATCGAATCCTCTTGTTCCCCAAATCTTGAAACTAAGCAAACATTTCAATGCTGTTTCTGACGAAAAGTGACAACTCAAGGTTCGGACACAGTTCTTCTTCGCGCCTACCTTCAATTACTTTCAGTTTCCATTGTTCTGCCCTGTTCTGCAGTGATAGTAGGCCTGAATGCAGCCCATTTAATCCTTTTAGGCTACCCACACTTCATATGGGCCAGCATTTTGGTTCTCAGCCGTAGAAAGTGGTGCTTGCTGGGTGGCTCAACATTACCGACTGACCCCATTAAGCCCAGCCGCCAGGGTCCAAGAAAGAACCCACAAAAAATGGATTGCATACGAAGCATGGTGTACTAGGCCAACCAAGGCCTTCTAAAATTGATTCTTCAATCCAAAATTCAAGTTGAAACCAAGTTTAATTACAAAGTTACACAACTTATTAGAGTTCAAATGTAGATTGAATCCCATTTACACTGATTGGACTTTGATGTGGGTTTGGTGTCAAAAGTCCAAGACCCTAATCCAAATGCTACCCAAATTTATGGTTAGAACTGTTTGTATGTTTTTTTAATAGTCTTGGCTGTTCGGGTCAACTTACGCATATCTCGATTAATTCCTTCCTCAGGTTGATTAAAGGTAGATCATCCACGTCGGAATTAGGGTATTCACGAGGAATAAATTCCTCATAGTCTGACCCCAAAGAGTTGTCAAGATTCGAACTCAATACGTCTGCATTTTTAACCAGTTTATGTTATCGCTTGAACTATCTATTGGAGTTTGATTAAAACTGTTTTGTCCAAACCCAATTCCAACCTCAACCTTGAAAAAATATTGGTGGTAACGGTGACGTCACACCATTACGTTGACATGGTATAATTGTCTATTAATAATATAACAAGTGGACAAATGAATCCCACGTAGAGTAGTTATTGCATGACATGGATAGTTATTTAATTATGTGAGAGATTCACTTGTCCAATTGTTATCTTATTAATTGTCGGTTACGCTATATGAATGTGTTACGACCCTAGCTTATCCCATGTATTTTGCAATGAAGCCTTTATCTGCAGCAGCTTGGATATTTGATGGTTTCCTACTAGCTAGGAAGATTAAGAAAGCTAAAACTCTGCTATAATCTAATTTAGTCAGACAACTAAGAAGAACAAGAATTGCCTCCCGAAACACCTCCACATATTTATTTCATCAATTCAATAACAACACACACATACACTTAATATATAACATCAACCAATTTTAGAAGAGAGAACAGAGCAATAAAGAAGCTTCATCATCCTTAATTAGTTGTTCCTGGGTTTTTTGGTTATAGATGGAAGAAGCTTCAGCTTTCATAGACCAAGAGAAAATGGAAAGCCAGTGGAGCTCAACCAACTACCACCAGCAATGAAGTTTCCAGGACTGAATGGTTGAGCCTGACTTGCACTAGTAAGCACCCTGTAACCTTTCCAGGTTACCCTCTTTGAGGTGCTGGCTCCAGTTCCAGTGTTCTGGTACTCTGCATAGAACAATGTGTCAAGTGCAAAATTTCCATCCCACTCGTACCACCCAGCAGGATTGATCACATCAGAAATTGTCGATTGCATAACAACAGTCCTAGAATATTCCTTCCATGGTCTGCCAAGGTACGTCGGAAAACTGCTTTGGACAGGTTTTAAATCAGAAGTGGCACCAATCCTGCATTTCTGAATAACGATTCCAGTTCTTTTGGCCGGAATTGGGACGACGTGCATGAATATCACAGTCTTGTAAAACAGCCCCGGAATTGCGGAAGATGAAATCGACAGAATCGGCTACGAAGCAACCCACAAAGAATTGGCGATTGGAGTGGACATAGAGAGTGTCTTGGTAGGCTATAAAACCACAGCGATAGAACGCTGATAAGTCTGCCCCAACACGAAGCGCCACCGCTTGGTGCTTTGATGGGCCTGCTGAGTTTTGAAAGGTTATGTCTCGCGCCAGGAAGCCTTCACACACCACAGCTGCACCCAAACCCAAATGGGAAACATTCAAAAATGTCAATGAATCAGATGAGCCTCACATTCTAATAACATTAAATGAGGGTGAAAGATAAATTATTTGTGTGACATTAACAAGTGAGCCCTTCTCCCTACACCCGTCATATGTTTTAATGAAAAGTGGCGAAGTATGTTATTCATGTGACACAAATGAGTTTTAGTCTGGTCAGGTGAATTGCACACTCCGCCACTTTCCGTTAAAACATCTAACGGATGCCAATAGAAGAGATCAATTATTACAATTAGCGAATTGAATGGCTCAATTGACACAATAAAATTGAAACGTAATATTCTTTAGTAATTTACTCTAATTCCTAAGTTGATGTCCATCCACTCTACTCACACTTACACTTCTGATTACAAGGAATCTAATAACGTAATCACTTTTGAAATTTAGATAATGGAAATTTTAGGGCACAAAAGTATTCAGAATTTGTTAATCTTACATATTAACAGAAATAGGACACGAAGCTTCAAATGATAGTTAACATGAATAATAAGTATGTAGTATGTATTATTATTACACACCAACAACTAGTCATGTACTATTTTTTTTTTATTGATCTAACATTGTATGAATTGTTTTAGATTCTTAGAACAAAATGAGTTTTTGTCAAAACTTAGTAGGGAAAATCTCATTTTGCCCCCTAAAATATACAAAAACTCTCAATTTGTTTTCTGAATAATCAATTTTTTCACATTGTCTTCTCAAAAAAATAAAAAAAAAACGTTGCAATATGGTTCACTATCTTATTTTTGTTTGATCGTCTATCTGTTTTGTGTCAAATCAATCAATCAAGAATTATAAAACAGATAGACAACTAAACAAAATATAATTGTGGACCACGTTGCAACGTTTTTAGGTCTTTAAGGAAACTATATATGAAAATTAATCATTCATGGAACAAATTGAAAATTTTTGTATCTTTTAAGGACAAAATGATATTTATCTTATTAAATATAATACGAACACAATATAAAACTAAATAAATATAATCTAAAATGATATGGCAACAGTAGTGGTGATGGTGGCAGTGTCGGTGGTGGTGGTGGTAGCAATGGTGGCGACAGTGGTGGCGATGTCGGTGGTCGTGGTGGTGATGGGGTGGCGACGAAAATGGTTGTGGCGACGGCGACAATAGTGGTGGTGATAGTAGCGACAGCAGCGATTGAGGGCGGTGGGGGAGGCGGCGATGGTGGTAGAAATAGTGGTGTGGCGATTTCAAACACTATTTTTTTAAAAAATATTTATGAAAAATAATCCTTAGAACTACTTTTAAAAAGTAATTCTAAGCACTCTTAAGAGTCTATTTTTTCTATTAAATTTAAGGTGTTAATATTAATCGTTAGATTAATTTTAAAGTAAAATTTAAAACGATCTAAACCGTAAATAAAAAAAATTATTTTGTTTATCTTTTAAGATTTAAATTATAAGGTACTTTATTATATAAGATAGCTCACATCACTTCATTTATCTCTATCACATATTCAATTATTTTAATATTTAATTAATTTATAGTTGAATATAATTTATAGTTCAAATGTTATTCATATACGATATTATACATATGTTAAAAAACTTTATCGAATTACATGTTTTAAAAAATTATCATTTAATATAACTAAATAAATTTTTTTAAACGTTCGAATTTTATGTTGCACCATACATAAAGACAATGGATATGTAGGGTTATCAAAATTCAACACGACACGATTAATCGACACGAATTAAACGGGTTTAGGTGAGATCTTAACGGGTTTGGGTGATAAACGGTTGACATGCCAAACACGTTTAATAAACGGGTCGTGTTCGGATGAGACCTGTTAAATCGTTTATCAAACGTTTACCTGTTTAAATAAAATTAATATAATAATAAATTAATAATTATTTTAAAAAATTAGCAAGAAAAAAAAAGTAAATAAATCAATAAAAAATAAATAAATAAAGTAGTAGTTTAAAGACAAAGGAGAAGAGTTAGAGAGCACTTGAAAGACAAAGGCAAATCACTGTCTTTTGTTTTTATCCCACATTAAAAAATGAGGGGAGATTGGAAGAGTGAGTTGCCTATAAAAGGCAATAGCTTCTTGCTTTTTTTTTTTAAAATCTTTAAGTCTTATTTTTATGAGATTTGATTTAAAATTACTCTTTTTTGATGTAAGTGCAATTAGTAATAAAAAAAAATAGAGAATTAAAATTTATTGATATAATTTTTTTAAAATTAAACGGGTTAAATGAGTCGTGTTGTGTTACCCGTTTATTAAACATATCGTGTTCGTGTTAATATTTTTTACCCATTTATTAAACATGTCGTATATAAATTTATACATTTTTTACCCGTCATTCGTTTAACCTGATACATAATCGTTTAATTCAGATGAAGTGATACAGAACAAGTAATGTCTTGAACCCGTACAAAATTTTGTCATTATCCTCAGTGTAAATGTGATTCGTGTTTTGGTTGGGACGAGCCAGCCAGTGCGGTGGGGGACTACTATCCTATCCTATCTCACTGTGATTGCCAGACATTTTGAATACATACATAAATAAATAATAATAAATAAATTCTGCTAATTCTTTGAATTCTGGACCTTCACCCCACCGGGCATGAGCATATCCCCTGGCTTATAAGCAACGGACTGATAATGCGTCCTGACATTCTTATGTAATCTTTTTTAATAATAATAAATATTATAATTTTAATTACGACCCACTATTTATAAATCAATTTTTATTTATATATGATAAATTATCTCTCATTAAATAAAATAGAAGGAACTAAGATAGAAATGATATAACAAAACATAGATGGAATAATCCAAGAAAATAATAAAGAGTAATGCTAAATAAATTTAATTTACTAATTTAATTTATTAAAACAGTTGAATTAACTGTAAATTTTATCTAATATTAATAGATATTGCTAATTCAAAAGTGGGAAAGGCGGGGGTACCATATCGAAAATTATAATTTTTAAAAATTAAGTTATAATTTTTTTGAAATATTATTTATAACTATGAATGGTATAATCGGTATTGAGGGTTTATGATCGATTATGAATATTTATTTCTTTTAAAATTATAATTTTATTATAAAAAATAGTGAAAGAAGGTACGATGAAATTAGATGAATAAATTAAGATAATTAGGGTATTGAATGATGAATTAAAAGGGAGTGAGAAAAATCTGAACTCACCGATCGGTAGCAGAGTTGAAGGTTGTGCTGCCATCAACCACATTCCGACTAGCCGTAATAATGGTGGTAATTCTACCATCACCCAAAAACATTATGTTGGTCTTGGCACATCCACATTTTCCCTGTAAACACCCGCCTTAATTCTGATCACGTATCTCTGGCTACTTCCTTCCGGCGCAGCGGCCACTGCCTCCGATACCATCTTATAGTTGCCGCTGCCGTCCGCCGCCACAACCACGTTTGACGTCACCGACGAAGACTGCAATAACCTCCTATCTCCGGCGGATAACCACTTAGGCCACCCATCGGTATCCTCCTCCACCGTGAGCTTCCTCCCTTCAATTTCCTCTCATTCGCAATATCGGTGTCCGTCAAGTTCTTGATCAAGGCCAATACATTACTGCACAACTTTTCTACTTTCAATTCACCCTTCAGCAACACTTCACGCACTTTTTTATCAGCTTTATCGTGCGAAAAGCCGTCGAGGCAAGTCTCTTGGTTGGTCATTGCAGCGCTCAGGAGGGTTTTGAGGTCATCGGCGTGTTGGGTGAGAGACTTCTTTTTTAGGGTACATATCAAGGTCTTCTTCAACCTTGTGAAGCTCATCAAGCGTCTCATCAATGGTTTCGAGACAACCATGAAGAGCAATCTTCTCTCTCTTTGTGAGATTTTTTTCCTTCGTGAGCTTCTTTACTGTTAAGAAATTGTGTTAGACGGCGGTGATGGTGATGTTTAAGGCCAGCTTGATTACAGCCATCGGGCTTGAGACTTTCTTGCTCATTCAGGGGACTGAAGCAAGAGAAGAGAAGCATAATTCTGGGTATAGCGTGCTGCTACAGGAGGACTTCAGAATGGCATGAGCTTGGGAGATTACAATGTTATGGTGGTCGGAGTGGTGGGTTCGTGAATTTACTCCGGCGACAATGGCGATTATCATGACAACGACTAGGACAGAGGCAAAAAGAGTTAAGCAGAGTTTTTTCTTTTTCTTGGAGATGGAAATGTGCTTGCAGGAGTTTGACATTCCGGCTACGAATTCTTTGATCTGGGTCATCTCTTTGGGAATTTTGAGAATATGGGGAAGGGAAAGTGGTGAGGAAGAGGTCTGGATATGGGGTTTTATATAGTGACTGGACTGATGTTAATAACTTCAAAGATCAGACATGGTTTATGTAATTTTATTAACGGGAAATATTATATAACTCAAATTTAAAAGTCAAATTTGTATTTCAAGTGAAAGTGATCATTAGGTGAATAGGTTTATCAACTTTTTTAACTGAGTTTCGTTGATCCAATATTTCCCTTTATTTAAAATTCAAATTTGAATTACATAACGTTACTCTTTTATCGACAATGAAGTACAAACACCCTAGAGCTTTTAATAAGTTAAATGAGATAATACATATATATTTTTTATTTTTCTTTAAGGTGGGACCGCTACCTCTCTCTAATTAAAGGATAATTTTATGAGCACTAAATTTGGGCATTAAAATTTACATCAAATCAACTGCAATCGTTAGATCAATAATTGGACCTATTGATCTAACAACTCTAAGTTATTTGATATAAATTTTAGTGCACAATTTTTGTGTACATAACATTTTTTTTAAATAAAAGTCAGATTGTTTGCTCTATTGATAACTCTGCGAGATTCTGCTTAAGGCATAAAAAAATAAAAAAGAAAGAGAAAAAGAGACTCAATTATCCAAAAATAACACATGGGTATGTGAATACTTCTATTATCTTCAAGTACTTACTTTTTATTATGTAATCAAGAATATCTTTTCTACACCATTGATACTTGAGCCACGAATCGATAGACTGCTTTTTATCTTTTTCTACTGCAAATGAGTAATCAAATAAAAGGGTGAGCAACATTTTATGGTTGGCATGGCATATAAGATGGGACATTCACATGATCAGAGACGAGAGCAGATGACACTTCTTGAAAATTTCTTTATTAGGAAATGATTTATCATGCATTTAAGTGAGACTTATTATATATAATTAAAATCTCTTATTCACTAATGATAGATGAATTGCCGAGAAAAAAATTAAAAGAAAAATGTGCATGGTGGGGTATAGTACTCTTGTGTTTGGTTCACTTTCTTGGGTAACGTTTGTTTTGGTCCGGATGGCTTCATTTTGGACTTTAATTTCTCTCTAAGGATTATATGCATGGATATATGTGCTGTTTTTTTATTTATATTAAGGATAATTCGTGTTTAAATATAAATAATTTTGAAATAAATATTAACTGTTGTTGAATGAGTCTATTTAAAATTATTAGATAAACTTATTAAAGTATATCATATTTTATATTAAAGATATAAATACTCTATATTTATAATTGCGACTTGGAATACAAGTGAGCACCAAGAGTTCACACGGCTTGCCTCCAATGAGATTCAAAGTGGATTTTTGTTTCATTATCTTTTTCTAATATTAATCCCACTGTTGAATAATTATAATTAAGTACCATCATCGGTTTTTTGCATTATTTGATGGATATGAATTGTTTTTAACCATAAATACAAGTGGTATGAAAAAAGCTAAGTATGTCTGGCCATGGAATTTTTTGGTTTCTGCGTCTTGTTATTTTTTGTTAACCACTCAAATCATTTACTGCTCAGTCTTTTTTTTTTCTTTTTAAGTTTCAACAGCCAGGATATTTGGTCTCAATACGTATATTTTGATTAATTTTCTCCTTGATTCGATTAAAAACAAATTACGCATGTCAGGACTAGAACATTCAAAATAGATGAATCCCTCTTGGTGCAACTCTAAGGGATCGTTAAAATTTGAATTCAGAACGTCTGATTTTACGGTTGATCTTTCTTATCATTTTAGTTATTTTTTGAAGTTTTGTTCAGATTGTCCGATGGTTATTGTCCCCTCTTCTCTCCATCTATATATATATTAATTTCCTAGCAGCATAATTTATTTTCTTTATTATTCAATGATTAAATTGTGAGAGTGTAAGTGTCGTAAACTGGGTCATGTATCAACCACTATAAATTGTCTGACAAGACCGAAGCAGTCTTGATGGAACCACATGTGCGTTATGGAAGTTATTAATGTGACCATAAGTGTCAGTCAAAAAATTTAAGAGTTATAACTTTTAATTATCAAGACATTCAACCTATTGATACTATTGATCTTACATATTATAAATGTTATAATATACATGATAGTGCTCAAAAATACTCAGCCCAAGTTCAAGTTAATATTTTGAAAAATGGGAGAAGGTAATATGAATATTTTAGGCTAACATAAAAAATATATATAATTAAAGATAATATATAAGTGGTTTACCCTAATCGAAAGACCAAAACTACGTTCACTATAATTAAAATTCTTGCTATGTAGAGTTTATATTACTTAAAGAAAAATGTTACAGTGAGTTTCTTAGCTTAGAACTTTTCTAATCAATGTCCTGTGAGTAGAGATTTTTTAGGTAGGGTTTTACATTGTGTCCTGGTGTTCTATTTATACAAGGTGTTATATAAGGTTTTTGCGATCTTCCTCTTTCTTTGACTAATTTTGTGATCTCCTATTTTTTGTCTTATAATGATGACCGTTAACTTGACACTAGCCATATCCACAGTCCTTCAATGGAATGTACACAAATATTTTTTTATCAGAGAGTACATTTTCGTTAGACGCTCCAGAAGTTGTCCCTGGTCCCTTGGACACATGGCGCGAAGTGGGACATTCGGGGTCTGGTGAATACCGAACTCCTTGATCCCGGGCTGCTTACCGTTAAGCTTGTTTTGACCGAGAAAGGTTGTGCCGAGCAGGACTCTCTGTTGGGCTCCCTCCTTTGAATTATGACCCATTCATTGTTGCGAAGCAGATGGGTCTCTTGAGCCGTAATGCACCCGTTGGGTCCATTAGATGATTTGAGTTTAGGATAGACAGCCCACTCCAAAATCCTACTATTATCAATACATAAATATTTCTTATTTTTATATCTTAAATATAATGTTATAGCTGCGAATGCTTGAATTTTTTTTATACCTTAAAACAATAATTATTTTATAATTAATTCAAAATGTGAAAGAAGAAGTAAAAAAAATATAATTAGATGGACTATTCTCGATGATTGTATTTATAGATTAATTAGTACGTTGTTAATTTATATAATTATATGTCTTTTATGGTTGAGATTTAATAGTTGGATGAGTCAAAATTCATATGATTAAAAAATTTAAATATAAGAAAAGATAGGAGAAAATATTCGGTACTTGACAGGTACCAGGCTGTCATTGACAGTTCATATTCAGCATGCCACCTCATAGAGAGATAAAAATTGAAGGAGAGCCTACCTTGAGGTGGTATCTCTTGATTGGTGCTGAGTACCAGTTGTTAATGACAGTCTGGTACCTGTCAAGTACTGAATATTTTCTCAAAAGATAGAATTACACGATTTATCATTTATGTAAGTCGTTATTGTCAATTGCTTGTTTCGAGTTTCATGCACTAATTAGGAAAAAATAAATATATTTTGGGAATTAAATAGCAACTTTTATTGATAAAAAAATATATAATTATTGTGTTGATGGGAAGGATAAAATTGAAACAAAATATATTATTGATGAAATTTAGGACTTCTTAGGAGTAAATTTTTAAAAGTTGGGTGGGAGCAAGAAAGAGGATTGGGTTTGTGAGTGAGGGGTTAGCCTAATGTTTTGAAACATGTAATAACTAGTAATAACTTCGGGCCTAAAGATACTCTAAAAGTCAAACATTAATCATGTATTAATGTTATTGAGACATAATTGAGAAATATAATGAATTGTGACAAATGGATAATAGTGAAATACATTTAAAAATATGATCTATTGTACAATTAAATGCATTCCACTGTCACTTCATTTGTCATAATATATTATGTCCTAATAGAATTGTTCTTAATCATTATATATATATATTAATAATAATTTATATTTTTTTAATTATATAATTTAAAATTCAAGTGAACAAAGAAAAAAAATAATAAATGTAGAAGAGAAAGAAGAGAGCTAGGTGTATAATATCATACAAATATTTTGTGAGTCAAAAGGCCATACTAAAACTAGTCAAGTTCTATAATAATTTTATTATTGCATGTAGAGTGTGTTTTGTTTGTACGATGGTAATAGGCAGGATTAATTGGTGGGATTGGATATAAATAATTAGGGGTTACTTATTCTGTGTTTGAATAACAAATTCGGGTCTTTCCTAACCGCTCTCTCTCCACTGCTGATAAGTTGCCACCGACAGTTTAAGGAATTGAAATTACTTGAATGCCCCTACATTCTAAATAAAACGTGGATTGAATTAATATTGAGGGTATGATGGTAAAATTGATAAAAGAATAGCCAACGGGTACGTAATTCACAAGTCAAATCAATGGGGCCCACAATCCTTCTGAACAATGGATTAGCTTAAAGCCAATAGGCCTTTCCTTGGACCAATAACCGGGGATCATGAAGCAGTTTTTGGATAAGGAGACGACGAGGTAATCGTTTTGTGAAGATAAAGTTTTTTACGAATTAATATTCTTAAAATTTGGCGATTAAGTCTTATCATTGTGTATTTAATTAATTTTAATATATATATATTCTTAAAAAAAATTTTAAGAAAATAATATTCTT